TTTAAGTAACTTATTATTAAATTTATTAGCGGTAATTACCTTCTTTATATTATTATAAAAGTAATAAATTATTATTACTTAAGTAATATAACTTAAATTAAATAAGTATAAATATAAGACTTAAGTTACTTTTTATTTATTAAAGACTTAGTTATAATTTACCTAAAAATAATTAATAAGTGAAATATTAAGAAGTTATTAGTAAAAAAGTTTACTTATATTACTAAATTATAAAGGGGGAATTTAAGTAATTAAAAGCTACTCTTAAACTACTATATATTTATAGTAAATACTTTAAGTAAGTTAAAAGAAAAGAATTAACTAGCGAATATATCGTGATAAATTAAGGAAAAACGCACTTATAAGCTCTTTATTATTTTGTTAACTTATAAGTAATATAGTAAGCGGTTTTAGTATAATTAAAGCTATAAATAATTCCTAGTAAAAGCTAGGTAAGGCGCACGTATTATAATTAATAGTATATACCTCTTACCCTATATAAGGGGGACTTAGTAAGACTAGCTATAAAGAATATTAAATTTAAGATAAAAAAACGAAAGCTTATTCCCTATTATATTAAACCCTTTTAAATTCTAAAAACTATTAGAAAATAAGTAATTCTAATAGGTATATTACTTAACGCTATTAGAATAATATAATTACCTTTATAACGTCTTTTATATTTACCTATTAAAGCTATAAAAAAGGTAAGAAAATACTAATAAAAACTTACTTTTAATACTAAATCTTAAAGAGAATATTAAAGAGAATAATAAAGAGTATAAAGTTAAAGAAGTTAAGAATTAAAGAGAGTTTTAAGAAGGCACTTATTACCTAGTAAAGTAAAAGGGATAGCCCTTTAAGTATAACTAGTAGGTAACTAGTAGCTATTAAAGATATAGTTAACGTATTTAAGGTAATTACTACGTTTTAATAAAATAAGAATAAACGAAAAGCTAATAAAACGTTATAAGAAAACTATAAGTAAAAGACTATTACGTGAAAATTAAATAGCTATACTCTTATTACTATTAATTTTATTTATTTTAACTTTTAGGCTAATAAACTATTAAATAAAAAATAAATAAAATAACACTTAAAGCGTAAGAAAAGCTAATAGAAAAGTATTTAAAGCGTCTTTTTTAAGTAAGTTATTATTAAATTTATTAATAGTAATTATCTTTTTTACGCTATTATAAAGATAATAAATTACTATTACCTAGGTAATATAACCTAGATTAAATAAGTATAAATATAAGACTTAAGTTACTTTTTATTTATTAAAGACTTAGTTATAATTTACCTAAAAATAATTAATAAGTGAAATATTAAGAAGTTATTAGTAAAAAAGTTTACTTATATTATACCTTTTTTACGCTATTATAAAGGTAGTAAATTATTACCGCTTAAATAATATAACCTAAATTAAACGAGTGTAAACGTAAGACTTAAGTTACTTTTTATTTACTAAAGACTCGGTTATAATCTACCTAATAATAATTAATAAGTGAAATAATAGAGAGTTACTAGTAAAGAAGTTTACTTATATTATTAAATTATAAAGAGGGAATTTAAGTAATTAAAAGTTACTCTTAGGCTATTATATACTAATAGTAGGCACTTTAAGCGAATTAAAAGAAGAGAATTAACTACCGAATATATCGTAATAAATTAAGGAAAAACGCACCTATAAGCTCTTTACTGTACTAGTTAGCTTATAGGTAATATAATAAATAATCTTAGCGTAATTAAAGCTATAAATAATTCCTAGTAAAAGCTAAGTAAAGCATACGCGAGTCGCGCGCGAAAAAATATAACTAGTATTATTATTACTATTATTCTTATTCTTTAAAATCAAGGCAATTATAAGCTACTAAAGGTAGCTTAAAAGGCGTAAGAGATTAATTATATCTTTAGCTATAATAAAGATAAGCTATATAAACGTTAGTAAAGATATAGTAAAATTATAAGGAAACCCTTTAAAGTTATAAATTAATTAAATTACACGTATTAACGCGTATAATATATTATTAATAGCGCTTAAAGAGGCTAGTATTTAAGCTTAAGTTACTATTAAAAGTATAAGGAATTTAAAGGAGTTTAAGCTTCTTTATAATAAGGATTTACTATTATACGTAAATAATACATGTAAAAATAACGCTTAATACTAATATTTATTATTTTAATAGTAAATAATAGGTAATTAGCTTAATAAAATAAGGTTTCTTAGGTAAAAAAAGGGGATTAAATAAATAAAATAAAAAAAAATAAGATAAGTAGTAATATTTAAGAGAGAAATAACTAGTAAAAGTATAAAAAGGCTATATTAATTTATATATATAGCTAATCGCGTAATAATATAATTAACCTTAATTAAACGTTTAAATTATTTATATATTAATTAATAATATACTATTATATAGCTAATAAGCGACTATTAAGGCCGTTTAATACTCGGCTAAAGTAAAGGGGAATAATTATAAGGTAATTAAGAAACCTTACCTACCTATAACGCGATTAATAACGTTACGTGGAATAAGGGCTTTAAGATTATATCCCCTATATCTCGTATAACTAGAAAATAGGATAAGCTTTAGTTATTATAATACAGCTACCCTTACTTTAGCTACCTGACTTCTAGTCCCTCTTATAATCTTATAATTTTCCGTTTTAGAGGCGATCTTAAGCTAGTGTCGCGGTGCGAGAGCGAGAGCAAAAGTTTTAGTAAGCTAGTATTATTAATTTTAATATCTTATTACCACGGTAAAACAGTAATTTATTTAAGCTTATAAGAAAGCTTTTAGAAAGGCCTTTATAGTAATAAATATTTAAGCTAGATTTTAAGCTATTAGCATTTTTCCTACTAATATTAAAAGAGCTCTTTAATCTATTATTGAAGATAATAGTAAAAACAAGCCTATAACACTAAAAAAGCAAAAAATTAATAAATAATAGGTTTAATAAACGCCTTATAATAGTAAAGAGATTTAAGTTTAAGTAAATATATTATATTATAACCTTAATAGTATTAATTATAAATATTAAACCTTAACCTTAAAGGTTAATTATAGCTTTAATTAAAAGAATAGCCTTATTATAATCTTATCCGTTAAAAATAAATATCTTAAAGCTAAATTTAACGCTTTAAAGCCTATTAATTAAAAGGCTATTAAAAAAGACCTTAATTAAGCCTTTATTATTATTCTTAATATTATTAAAGCTAAAGTTAAAGCTAACTATATAATAGCTCTTTATAAAGAACGTTATAGCTATATAATTAAAGAAAATACCCTTAAAATTATAGGTATAAATTAGTCTAATATAAAATTTACGTTTTAGCTGTAGATAGCTAATATATACCCTTTTCGTTGAAAAATGCCTTAATTTTAATGTGTTATAATAGAGCCCTAAATATAACGAAAATAGGGGGCTAACAATATTGTGGGGTGGCACGTTATATGTAAATTTATATGGTGGGGTGTGGCAGGTGGGGGGTGCACCCCAATTGGGCTTAATGCCGCACGAATAACGATTTTCTGCCGCACAAATAGCACAACCCGATATGAATATATATCAATATTGATACATCCAGATAGCAGCAATATCGTATCCAAATACGCAGGTCTGCAGGGGATCATGGACAGTAGATCAGCATAACCCACTAATCTGTGTCTTTGAGGCAATCCGCATTCAAAGGGAGACTACGTTCGGGAAACATGGTGGGTCAATCCATTAGGCTACGGAGCTATATACGCGAGAAGCTGTCGTATAGTTTAATCATGTCTTCGCAATTAGTCTGCTAGTAGCTCACTGATAGCTTCGGCCTCACACCAGACGAATTCGAAACTTAGAATCGCCGATGTCGAAATAAATATAGAGAATCGGGATGCACCCTTGGAGCACCCGACTTTCAATTCACCATGTGTTGGAATGTCCCACACATTGATTGGTGCAGTTGTCCCGACACAGGTCGTATCTTGCTGAGTAATGGACATTCGTCCATGTCTTACGGTGCCAAACTCAAACAAAAACGTTAGCATTCCGTAGCTGAGTTGAATAGGCATTTGATCCATCGTCACACGTTGATGGAAAGGCAGGTCCTTGCTGGTCAGCCTCAGGGGTACCAAATCAACAGCAGAGCATGGTAAGTAGTTGATGTGTCCGATAGCTCTGGCAGTTTCACGTTTCGATGCCCTACTGTCATCATTTTCCGGTCTAGCTTCAGCTTCAGATGTTGACTTTGAGCTTGCAAGGCTGGATTTCACGCCATTGGATTGAACAGACCTTGGCCGTTCCTGGCTGAACATCTCTTCTTCTTCATCTAAATGCGAAGCTTGAAAAGACGTGTCACCGCTGAGATCTACCCCCTGGATTATTGAAGCAGTCTTTGATAATTCAGGTGATGGGTTAGATATGGCCTCGGTAGTCGCTGGTAATATACAGCTCACTGTAGACGATGACATAGGTATAGTCAATACCGTACTTTCGTTTGGGTCTGGGTATACGCTTCTCTTTCGCCTAGAAAGTAGCAGTTGTATGCTATTTCGAGCCTCAGCCAACAGGTAATCGACGAACTGCTGCTCGAAAGCAGTTGTTTCGGGACATATTGGGAGACGCCAGCCTGGATATAGCCGTCCATGACACCGCGGAGTATAAAACTTGCCGTGCATTTGGATAAAAGCATTGCATAAGAAGCAAGCATCCTTGCTAGAACTGATAACCCGGGGAAAGGGAGCGCATTGCTCTATTTCGCAGTGGAAGATGAGCTGCATCTCCGCGTGGATCTTCGCTTCTGATAACGTCTTTCTCGTCTGCTTCACGAACAGATCACTAGCCTGTTGTTCACTGCATTGCAGCAGACGGAAAAACTGACCATGGTCCCTTTTTTGGCCGTAGAATACCCCGGAATTTTTCAGAAAGGAGTCGAGTGATGGGATGCTGCGATGTTGGTGATTTTGAAACGCGCTTCTGGGCAAGGTAACGGGCACGGCTTCCATTGCTTGCGTTATGGGGAACTTCTTCGCGGTGCGGCATAGAAACATGGCCGAGGAACGATACCTTGCTACTTTTTTGATCATGTTTAGCAAGCTTCTTCTCGAACTTGGGTCCATTTCTCGATTAGGTATTGCATCCAGTAATTCCGAAACACCCTTGATTTGTGCCAACTCGTACACGCCCTGCACAACATTTTGCAGTCGACCCAACGTTTGATGATTTGTCCACGAGTCAAGAAGTTTAATTGCGCGTTTTGCCTTTTCGGTGAACTGCGAAGAACATTTCGCGAGTGGCCGTAAAGAGAGTAAGAGAAGGCTTTTCATCGACAGTTTTGGCGTTTTCCTTCCAGAGAGGCGCAAACGGCAGAGAATTCGCTTAGAGCACATCGATACAACGGCAGCAAAGACATCATTATGAGCGGCTAGGTTCCGACATTCTTAGTCCCTATTCAATCTTAGAGCTGCTATCTGGAGGCACTCACTGGGTGATGCTCTGGACAGTATCGAAAAGATTCCCTCGAAGCCGTGTTTCAAGTCCTGTAAAACCGAGTGGCTGTCACCCCGCTTAGCCTCATTGACAGCTATGAATACCTTCAAAGACCCGGCCTGAGAGTCCTCCTGCACACAAATTGCGGGTATATGATTGGGATCATCGTCAATACTCGAAAGAAATGCAAGAGTGCTAGTCAAAAAGCGCTCTTTCTCAAACGGGAGGATATAATGTTTAGATTGACTGGCGAGGAACGAGGCCACGGGGTTTGCAGATGGCTGGCTGGGAACTGAATGCAGAAGGTACAAGAGTGCAATGCTCTCAGCACAGCCCATCTGCGCAACAGGTGCTGCCATATAATCCAGTAGCTGCTTGAAGTATTTTCGAAGACTCAGGGTGCTGAGACTGAGCGTTTATTTTCCTGGATACCATGTGATGCACAAAAGGAAACGAACCAGACTTCAGCCATCAGCGTGCCAGCGTCTCGTTTGTTGTCTCCCCCTCATCACCGGGGAAAGTTCATTTCATCCCGCAGTTCTGCAAAATTGATTCGTTACCCAAAGCTCACCTGCAATGCTCTGCTTGTGGTGCAATCACGCAAACCTGGGCTGCTCGAGCCAACCAACCTTGCCAATTAGGTCTCGTTCTACCAAAGCCGTAGAAGGCAGCATGCAATGTTCCAGTCGACCGCAGTTTTCTTGTAACATGCCAAGGACTTGAGATGCCGTCTGCTCGGCATTTACCATCTGTCCAATTTCATCAGCGAGATGCTATACATTGTCTCGCCGCCCGGAAGTGATGTCGTAGGCGATTTATGGCACCTTTGGCTGCCTTGATAGTAACATCTCGGGGAGTCGACAATACGCCGTATATGGGAGAAATGTGGCCTTTGTGCAGAACTTCATTGACTCGTCTCCCTAAAGCTGTTCGCATCTCAAAAGCTTGGCCGACCTCTCTTAGACATCACTCTGCTCTTCTTAGTGGCATTGAGAGTCATGTTGAAAGCTCCGCCAGGCTCTATACAGTCAAAATTACCCCATTCTCGTATAATTCTTAAAAGAGCGTGGTGCTTACACAACTCCATCCTCGTAAAAACAACGATGACACCATGTATCGTCCCCAGGTACGAGCCCCACGTCTACACACATTACACGACATGTGTTTGACCTGCGTTTGCCCTTTATGGATCTCTATCACCAAATCTAATTTAAAGAGAAATTGTCCGGCGACGGCACCTATAATGACTCACAAGAGCGCTGTGAACTTGTTAGTAAACTTGTAGAGAACCGCTAGGGCAAGCAAGTACAAAACTGCTGCCGTTCCGACCTGCGCCACTGTAATAATTACCTCACCAACGGGCTTGTTTTTTACCTTGTCAAGAGAGCCCCTCGATACTGGCCTTGAGAATGAGCCGCGGGAGTTGCATATTGACTTGTGAACGAGAAAAAAGCATGGGCGAAACGAAGTTTGAGATTGGTAACAGGCCCATACAATTCTGTAAACCACACTGTTGCTGTTCGGCTTCTTGCGCTTCTCTGTGTCGTCCTCGTGGTGGTTGAAACAACTTCAATTCATTGAGTTCGCAATCTTGCGTCCGCTGGTAACTATCGAACTGCTCCTGCATCCACAAGAAATGTCGCCACCGCCTCGTAGCTATTCGTTAAGGCTCGTGTGAGCGGTGTCCGGCCAAGATGATCGCAGGCATTGACATCTGTTCCATTGTCGATAAGAAACCTCACTACCGCCTCGTGGCCGTTCGCTGACGCTGATATAAGTGGTGTCCTGCTATTCTTATCGCTGGTATTAACGGCTGCTTTGTTATTAATAAGAAGCGTTACCATCGCCTTATAATTATTTTTTAAGGCCTGTCGACTTGCCAGCGCCGGGTTTTCCACGAATTCATAGAAAGCCGTGGTGGTCAGCAAGCCGTCTAGGATCAAGCTAGGTCTTATAGTCCTGATGATTGAGAAGCCATCGGAATGTTTTTGCGTGAGCATTCTTGATGCTTAATTTGCGGGAGTCAATTTGGTCGAACCTAAGTGAGTCTAGCAATCGTCGACGATGATGATGCGATGTATTTTGATCTACACTTGAAGGTGGGACACACTGATCGGGATACGTTGCCAATTAGCTGAAGTTTAACTAGCTTACGAGAGTCGGGCAGGTCAACAGCCTGTGTCTGCGCATGGGTCTTTGGTAGAGCCTCTATCAACTCCCTAGCGTATGCGGCGGCGACAGCCGCTGCATATCTTTGCCATTCGTCGCTCTTATGGGAATCCGAGTAGTCAGATATTCCCCGAATTGGGAGACAAGAAAAAGTGTCCATAAGGCCAGAGGTTTCCATCTCGAAACATTTAACGTCAAGGCGTCGAGCTACGTTGTCCCGGACGGCGCTGCTTTTCATGACTTGGTTCGCCGAGGCGATCCCGCCATAATGTATCACTGGATCTCCTGATATGCGTGTGCTTCGTGGAACCAGCTTGGAAGGGTCGCACTCGTCGCAGCTACCCGTCGGAACTTGGTGATTATACGTGGCAGAGAAAAGGCGATCCCGTAACCTCGGGCGAAGGAAGTCGGGCTGCCTTTCCAGTTTCTCTCCTAGGATGTGCGGGATACGACTGGGCTCTAGCTCGTGTTTTGATCGAAGGACTGACACGGCTGTACCGAGCGACTGGTGCGGAATCCTCCACGTCGCCGTTCCCTCAAACTGTCCCTCTCCAACGATTTTCCCCAAGTCATACTGCATCACCCTCGTTCCTACGACAACGTCTCCCAAGCGAATATCGGCCATGCCCGGCGCTCCGCCTCCAACTCCCACCATTAAACCCAGGCGGATCGATGGGAAGGTTCGTCGCAGGTTGGTCGCAACGATTGCCGCGTTATTCATCCCGTGCTGTGCAGTCGGCAAGCACGCAATGACGATATTGTGCCGCTGGATGCTTCCCAAAATGTAAGTGTTGGTGTCAGTCGCATGCGCCAGCAAAGGCTCATGAAAATCGTCCAACATGGCCCGAGCTGCAGCCATCTCGAAATGCAGCGCGCAGATCCAGGCTATATTGTATTGATCGCATCGTAGGGCGGCCGAACCATTTTGAATCCCGTTATCCACACTGCTCGGACCATTGTGGGAAGTTCTTTTTCGCTTTGGCGGCGGGGAGGAGCCTGTTCTTGCGTGATCTTCGCGCCAACGACGTCCGTTGTCCATCTTGGCAAGATAGCCATCTGAGAACGACTCGAAGTTTTAAACCCGCTGCTGTCACTGTCGATAGTCGAAATTTTACCAGAATGGCTGAAAGGGAAATGTCGGTGACTGTCCTTCAGCTGATTCGTCGATGAAGGATGGGAAACGGATCGGACATCTGGCAGGCTTGAATGCATTGCTGCCTGCAGGCAACAACCTCCGTAGCCAATGATCCTCCCGCTGCCTATAGACTTGTCTGCGACGTGTGCATGCGAATCTTTGGAACAAAGCGAGGTGTGTACTTGTATCTAGACAGTTGCCTCTTATGCGGAGGCCATGGTATACGCACTTGATTTAAGCTAAATACGGCAATGATTCGTGTGCTGTTCCATTATAATTTCTTTAGGAGTTATAGGCACACGTTGGGCAGCCGTACCCCGTGTAGTATAAGTTCAACATGCTTTTTGGCACCAGCTTAGGTAAGCATATATGTGATAGCTGGAATCGACCAAGGAGAATACTAGTATTATATTTATATAGGCGCGATAAGTATTTTTAATCTTAGTATAAAAGGTAGGTTAATAAACGATTATATTATTTTTTTAAAATCACTTACGCGAGAAGTCTTTCGACCGCGTTAGGTAGCCGAGTTTCCTCTCTCGTAGATTCCCCTTATGGGCCTTTTTTTAGCAGAAACTTTGATCAGTGATCTTAGATGATAGACATCCATCATGAAATATAAATGCGGCATTAAAGAAGGTCTTTGGTTTATCTTGATGCATATTCGATTCGTCCCCTGCTACAGAGATAGGCCTCCACATCAGCATATCCGTTACTACGATAAATGACACAGCCACCTGTATTATTTACCAACTATAATGGAATAAGGTAAAGATTTAGGTACCTGACCGGTGTTCTATAGGATCTTTTACGATATCAAGCCGGGCTGACCGTTTTGCAGACTATTATATCCTCTAGCACGCAACAGCGGCCAGGTTCTTCTCTGGCAAGCGTAAAAGGCTGGTTGCCACTCTCTAATGCCGATACGTCACAATTACTGCTATTTGGATACTCAGCCTTCAAGCAACTACCGCGGCCCCATAGTAAGTGACTCGAAAGGCAGTGATTCCCTGTCCTAATCAGTCCGCAGGTTTTTTGCACCCAAGGAGATCGAAGGTGATCGTTACCAAGATGGTGGTAGGCCTCAGCCTTCAAATGTTACAATAATAACCCCGCAGCACTCACTTTTGCAGAAGTGGCCGCTATTAACACCTCACCCAGGCCTTGTAGCGTCATTTGGTACAGGTTCAGCAGGTGGTGCAACGTAAAAAAAAGGGACCCGAGAACTCTAGATCTGATTGTCATGTATTAGTTTGCAAGCCATCACGCTTCGTTAGCCATCCGGATGTCAAGAATTGACATTGATTACACCGTCACAAAAACAACACATTCTGCTTGAGAAGCAATTTTAACCCCTTATATTCCGTTGACACTCTAACATGTTGCTAGAGTTGGCATGCGTATGAGCCTTCTACCAGTGACCGGGGGTTACTACTCATTTAGACGTAAATGCCTGCTCCGTCGATAGTACAAGAACAAATAGTATCATGTTACTAGAATTGAGAGCCAGCATCTTTTCGGCTTGCAAAAGTCAGTGCTCATGTTAGTAAATGTGCTTACAATATGTCCGGCTTCTCGAGTACACTTATAAGTGAACGACTGCCAGTTGGCATCAAGCCGAATTTTCAAGGCGACTGCTATCAGACATCAGCTGACTATCGTTGCTATAAAGTCAATGTAAAATACCAGTCGCATTTTGGTTGGTGACCATCGGATCGGAGTGGAAAGCAGTTACTAAGACAAGATCGACCCGCCTCCCGCCATATTGGGAGAACATGACATTAATACTGGACGCCCGCATCAACGAATCAAATTCGGTCTAACCTATCCCCTCACTCGGATGCAAGGTTTGACTTGGCAGACATCATTGGAGAGATAGGGCTTCATCTGACTGGTCGTTAGTGTTAAGTAATTTCGGACGTTATTTTGCAGCTGACCCGAGATTATGGAGTGATATCATCGCTTCCCATTAAGATGACTGGTCCGATACTACAAAGATGACTACTATCACACGCAGATATGCATGGCGGCAGGGGTGCTTGATGACGGCCCATTTCTGACCCATCTCTGATATTGGCTCTCCAACAAGAAACGTTTATTCCAGCCGCTGAAGACATAGATTTCTAGACCACGCCTGCTCTTTCGGGCATTTCAGCAGTAATTACAAGACTTGTTGGGAGACCTCAAAGCTTCAGGGCGTCATGATTCTGTATGCCGACCCTCAAGACCACACCGTCGGCCAGATCTCTGCTGTGGAATAAGTTACTGCGCGGGCCATCCTAGATGATAAGCACGACGGACTGGAATTTCTTCCCTCGACAGACAACAATTATTACACACTGGGCAGAATGAGGAAGCACAATGCTAGTGTCCTTGTCTTGTCAGATAGACGTACTACTCCCTACACTATACATTCTCTGCAGCAGTCCGTCGTAAGACTCAGGTCACACGACCTCTCTAGTCTTGGAATCACCTGAAATGCCAAGAAAGCGCTAGCACAGAAGTGTAGATAACGAAGTGAATGAAAAAGCCATTCAGCTCTTGATATAAACGCAGTCTTGGTCCTGTACGAGAATCAGCTTGCCCTTAATCAACTGTTTTATCCATGTTATATACAAAAACAAGTACTACGAAGATGGATAAGATGACGAGGCCGCAGAGCGCCTCCCGCAAGACCGGCATCGTCCGTCCACACGTCTAGTGGCGAATCCAACCTACATCGTGGTGAGTAGAATGGCGACATTATTAAGCTTACCAAGAGGGTGGCGCCGCCATGAACGAAGTCGCTTGCATTGGTTCCGGTGCCGCATGTAGCTGTGCAATAAACCTTGTTGAAGAAAGATCTCATGACACACACTTTACCTTGTTTCTCCTCTCAACCCCACTTTCGAGGAAACGAAAGCCTGCATTTACGCAGCTCGGTTTACTCTAAGGTGATGACGATTGGTTATAAGGTCTCAGGTTTCCTTCAGGTTGCCTCCTAGGTGCTGGCGAACTATTGAAAATGACCCCAAGCAATCATGAGTAGGCCACCCTGGTTGTCTGCCTCAAGGTCCATCATTTGTTGGTTGATTTTGGAAGACACTCCTGTATGGAATATTTTTCATCTTTTGAAATGCTTCGGCGTCACAGCCCTTGTTGTAATTATTGTGCTAATTTCTCAGCAAGACGCTAGAGGCAAGACTAAAACGAATGGGTTGTGGCATCGGGCGATTTCGAAGTCGATCTAGACATCCTTGATGTCATCCTCGTGATCGACATTTCTGGGGAACAATAAACCTTCAGACGTATGTTCTTGATAGCGGTCTTTCTGATCAATCGTATACCCTTGGCTGGTGGCGGTTTTCTCTGCGCCGTTGGCAAAGACCTTGTACATGGGAACATCCCTGGAGCCTTCTACCAGCAGGATTCTCCCTTAGCAGTCTTGAGTCTTTAAGCAGCCGTGGCTCCTTTTGGAAAGCCTTTGGGAACTCTCAAATGTCTACAGACTCTTGGGGCTTGCTCCAATCAGTTTCTTGAGAACCGCTGTAGGACCAGCAATGTTCGCGATGCCCACCAGCACACCAAGTAAACGCTGGATCTCGAATTTCCCCCCCGTCTCTTCTTCTAAACATAACCGATAGGTCCTGAGTTATAGGATAACTGAAATGTCTGAGTGGATGTATACAACATACCAAAAAATACGTCGCGTGCCCCGATGCCTCCATCCCTCACTGTCAGGGGCAAGGCTGTTGGGATGCATTAGGCGCCTAGCAGTTCTGATTACAATTCATTCCTGCAGAAGCACTTTCCGTATCCAGTCAACCTGCCACGTCATCGTCAGCGTCATTGTGTCGGCTCGGACGTGACGACAATCTCCCCGGCCTCCGTCCTTTGCTTGTCGCCAGTTTTGTCGTCCTGCATATATGCGGCTTGTAGAGGTGCGCTTAAATACGCGTAGTATCCCTCATCTCTCTCACTCTGTCGGAGTATGCTTATACATGATCTCGGTTCACAATCGTTACAGCAACAATGCTTTCTTCCATCACGGCCAGTGCCCTTCTTGCCTGTGTCTACTTGGTGTACAGATTATATATTCGCGGGCAAAGGAAAGTCCAGCTCCCGCCCGGCCCGAAGCCATGGCCACTGCTTGGGAATATTACGGACCTACCTTCGCAGGACGTGCCTGAGTATCAACATTGGCTCAAGCACAAGGACACCTACGGCCCCATCAGCTCCGTTACCGTTCTCGGGCAGACCATGGTGATCATTCATGACCTAGAGGCCGTTCACGAATTACTGGAAAAGAAGTCACTCATGACATCAGACCGGCCGCGACTCGAGTTTGCGCATAACTTGTCTGGTTTCGGCAAGTACCTTTCGCTCCGATCATACGACGACAGCTTCCGAAGGCAGCGCAGAGCCGTACACCAGCAACTCGGGACCAAGGCATTAGCGGAGCAGTATCATGCTGTGCAAGAGGAAGAAGTTGGACGATTGCTTCTGCGGCTTCTGGAGGATCCGCAGAATCTCTCGCAATACTTTAAAACGTAAGCTCAACTACCATGGTCAGATTCCACGCAACTATCGTCTGGAGTGACTGAAGATGAAGCAAATAGTCAAGCCGGAGCCATCACACTGAAGATAACACACGGCTATACTGTTCAGCACAGACAAATAGACCCGTTGGTCCAACTGATCGAAGAAATGATGGCAAGGGCTTCCGAGGCCCTCGTACCTATGGGCCATGCAGTCGATCTCTTGCCTGTTCTCAAACACGTCCCCGAGTGGTTCCCTGGCGCTTCATTCCAAAGAATTGCCAAGAAGACGACGGATATCAATAGGATGGTTACCGACGTTCCATACAACTTTGTGAAGCAGCAGATGGCGCAGAAGACTCATACACCTTCCTATGTATCTAGGCTCATTCAAGAACTGGAAGACGAGGACCTGAAGCCCGACTCTGTGGCCGTGGAGACTATCAAGTGGTCAGCAGGAGTCTTGTACGCTGCCGGTTCAGATACCGCCGTCTCTGCTCTTTGCAGCGTGGTTCTCGCCCTTAGCAAGTTTCCCAAGGTTCAGCGACAGGCGCAGGACGAGATTGATAGCTTGACGGGCTCTGGTCGTCTGCCGCAGTTTGAGGATCGCAGCAAACTTCCGTATGTGAACGGCGTCGTCAAGGAAGCGCTGCGGTGGTTTCCCATAACACCAATGGGCATGCCGCATGCCACCAGCGAAGACATCATCTTGCAGGGATACCTTATTCCCAAGGGCGCCATTATACTGCCCGCCGTGCGATGGCTCCTCCACGATCCCCAGGTATACGCGGATCCGGATTCATTCGACCCTGCGAGGTACCTGGCGCCGCGGGATGAGCCAGATCCCGCAAAGCTGGTATTTGGGTTTGGGCGCAGAGTTTGTCCGGGAAGATACCTGGTTGATGCCACTCTTTTTCTTACAATTGCCCAGTTCCTAGCCGTATTTGATATCAGCAAGGCTCTTGATGACGAGGGCAAGGAAATAGAGCCGATGGTGGCTAGCAGACTAGGACTCATTGATCACCCGGCTCCTTTTCCTTACAAAATTACCCCTCGGAGCGAAAAGCATGCTTCACTGATTCGAAGTAACGAAATGAGCTTTCCGGGGAAGGAATCTGATGCCGATGCCCTCCATGCGGCGGGATTTGAGAGACAGTCTTGCCAGCTTTGATAGCGTCAGATTTTCCGCGGCCGCAGGGATACATTAACGGTGACCACCTGATATTTGCCAGCAGATTGATGGATGGGCTCTACGTGTGTGCAGAAGCTTCTTGTTGTAGAATGCGGTAACGAGAAGCTAAACTCTAAACTACCGGGCTGCTCACTGGGCAATCAATTAGGCTGACGACTAAATTGCGACGTGTATACACAAATAATGGATATGATGGGGATATGAATGAGGCCAAATATTAGTCATATGAGTGCCCTCTTCCGAACTAGTTACAGTTGGTATGACCAACTCTGTATCAAGATCAAGAAGCTCACTCACCAAGATGTCCCGTCTTTGGCGAAAAATCGCTCATTATGTAGAAAGCTAAATATGCACTCCTTTATGAATGGAAATTCAAGTTTCTCTCACATTGTCCGACTTATCCTAAACAAATCTATCAATCGCCAATTTCATGCAGATGCTACAAATGCAAGACATCACATTACGCATTAATACAAATGGAACGACATATAGAGGCGCTGAACAACCAGATCAAGGACAGGAGTTGTTTGTTCGGGACATTCTTCCGCGGCCCACAGGAACGAGGGACGTCAAGACATCAATTGATGATATTAGGTGCGGGTGCTCACCCGATACTAGCCCCTGCTCACCCGATACTACCCCTCCCCAAGAGTCTAGCGGTTAGGGTTGGGGTTAGCCCATGGGATATGAACTAAAGTGGCACCTGGGAGCTATTATCGGATGAGTACGGAGTAGTGCGCCCTACCATCATTTCATGTACCGCCACCACAGGAACAGAGGGCATCAAGAAGGTGCGGCATTTGAGCACATGCCTCAAGGCCGTAAACCAGGGCACATCATTGACAGCCGCGATGTGACACGACATCCGGAAGAGTTGCAGTGCGTCGTGGCGTTGTGCGGGACGGCAGGAATCCTTGTGGTGCCCTGGAAAGGAGACCTGGAGAATGAGCCGCGCCTCTCTTCGGCCGTTAGGCGCGGGTCAGGGGAAGCTAACTCATCGTTCCAACAGGTCTTTGGTCGTGGCCTTGATTGAGAGGGGCTGCGACAGGTACCCAAGTTTATGAAGGGAATATAGATAGTTGGGAATTTTAAAATAGACTGTTAAAGAGACGTGGGCGAGCGTTGGGGTGAGGGGGGAACCCCAGGAAGGAGGACAACACAAAGAGTCAATGGCTGCGGGATCTCTAAATTCGTTTAAATCTATATTAGGAGCTTTTCTTCATGCACGTCGGGCAGGGAAGGGGGGACAGGGGGTCAAGAATGGGAAGATGGGACGGGATAGGGTGTGATTCAGGCCGAGTGTCACGACGGTTGTCGGGTTTGACTGTTCAGCTATGGAGCAAAAGGATCCATCGATAGCGGCCATTGGACAAATATCACCGATATCAGCCTGTAAGTGTGCCCTCGTGGCTCTCTCTCTGTGTGGCCCTGACACCAAGCATCGACCAGAGATACTAATCAGGTACCCGCATGCTCGTAGCGCCGTACAGCTTCAATTCCGGTCAAGTAGCAAATATATGTTGAAACTGGGGCTTCGTACAGCCCCGTAAATCACATGCATGCAGCCGTCGGGTTGGTTACCAGAATCGACTTCGCCTGCAGAACTGACTATGCACGTCTTCCCACTGCGCCCGACATTAGGACACATCAAGTGAGAAAATGATGAGAAAACCTTGTATAAAACAGCATGCGCGAAATACTAGTAAAGAGCCTCGGGTGTTTCTTTGTTATATACTCCAACAGATCCTCATAGACCTATAGGAAGGCGCATCACAAGTCTGACCACCCATACACCCCCAGCAGTGCTTCTCTTGCTGGTACACGAAGTCGATTCTATTCGTCGGCCTTATATGCAATACGCTGCAATGGCTGGTCAAACTCGCCCGGACACCAGCTTGGACCTGGGCTTTTGGATGCGCCATAGCATCTCACCCATCCTTGCTTTCCTAAGGGCAGCTGGGGCATATTCAGCTGCAGACCAAGGGGAACACATTCGAATTCTCTGCGACCATATCCTCCCTAATATTGGACCTCGACCAACAGCGTCCCATCCTATTAAAAGCTCGCTTACAAATAGTGGTTCGCCGATCGAGATTAGCCTTAATCTTCGTTCCGGAAAGCCGAGTGTGAGATATTGCGCCGAGATCCTGGGCTCGGCTTGGCCCGACGATGCCGATATATATGCGGTGGAGACGGTCCAGAAATGCTTAACCTCCCTTTGCGCAGAACTAGGGCTCAGCAGACGTTGGAGTGATGAGCTACTAGAGGCCTTTATTCCCACAGCCGAAGAAGCAAAAAGATCACAGGAAAACGTGCAACAGTGGATGACGAGCCTCCTGCCCCCTGGACTGGAAACAAAACCCGTATCAAGGCTGCCCTTTGCTGCTTTTGCTTTGGACTTGGATGGACCCCGGGCTCGTCCCAAGTTGTACGTTAGTCCAAAAGTCAAAGAGATTGGGTCTGGTAGCTGTACAAATGAGGCTATTTGGAACCTTTTACGTAATCTGGAACCCCCAATAAACTCCAAAGCTGTCGAGGCCATATCAGAGTAGGTCTAGCATGATATCTTGGTCTACTTTTCCTTGATTAGATTTTGCCACTAGTTCCTCTTGTTGACTGGCAGCAGATTCCTACTCGAAGGTGTGGTATCACCTTCTATTGACATGTTGTCGATAGACCTTGTTAAAGAAGAGGATTTGCACGGCGCTCGAGTCAAAATGTACCTTCATACCACTACTAATTCGTTTAATACGGTGCGGCAATGTTTAACCCTAGGCGGCCGACGTCAGGACGAAACGACTATAAAGGGCTTAGAAACCCTAAGGACAATTTGGCACCTGATGATTCAGGAGAAGGACGAAGTCGCTGACGATTATGAAAAGCCGGTAAACGACGCCGCACAACAAGCCATGAAGCTGTTCCTTTCCTTGGAGATTACCCCTGGCAGAGACCTCCCTGAAGTCAAGTTATACGTGCCCGTCTTTACCTACATGAAAAGCGATGCGGAGACGGTGGAGAATTTCGAAATAATGTTGGAAAAATGCAACCAAGAGTGGGCTTCCAGTGGGAAATATAGAGACATGTTTGAAACTGCCTTGTATGTTGCGCTCCATCCCCTTTACAAATACACATCAGTGACATTAACCGGATACATTCTAGTGGGGATCTCAATCGGAAGCGCGAGGCGCCAATTCATAGCTACGCATCATTCTACTACAATGAGTCTGGTGTATACCAAACGTTGTATTTTTGTTTGCCAAGAGAGTTGGACGTTGACGGCGAGAACATGGTAGAGCGCCAACCAGACTGCTAGGCGCAGCGGCACAGAGCACGGTGGCTTGGACAGATGTCTATATTTGGACAAGATGAGAGACTCATGATGGTGTTTAAGGTGGCGGCAGGGTCAGAGTGACCGGCAGCTGTGGAATATTCTCGTGGTGCCAATATGCGGTTTCTTGCTAATATAAGGTGTGTTGCTTCTATGCCTTCGTGGCGCAGTGGTTTCGCGCTCTAGAGCCCGAGCTCGCCTCGTAGGGGTTCGGATAAGCTCTTTAGCGATATTTAAATTTTTAAAGGTTTATTTTCCTTTATCAAATATATTATTAATAAATGCCCTTAAGATAATAGATAATCAAGTTTTATACTACATGTTCGCTTAATAACAAGTAGAAAAGAAGAAGTAGGTGTGCTCACACAACACCCCCCAGTTAATTAGACTAGAATCGGTTAGTAGATTAAACAAACGACTATCACGACGTAGTAAAATATGGACATTGGCATGGCAATCTCGATGAACAAGTCCAAGGCGCGCTATTAACACCTGTTGTTGAAGGCTTCGGTGGTCTTATCCCTCTTTTTTGATCGGCCAAGGGAAAGGTTGTGTTTAATGTTAATGTCTGACATGAACAGAATCTAGGGGATTATATACCAAAATGAGGCTGTTGTGTTGGCCGAAATTTTTCAAGGACTTAACCTGTTATAAAGCATCTTGCATCAACTCATTTAGCTTAGTATAGATCCCAGCAATTTTCAGATAAAGTAAACTCGACTTCGTGATCCGCGAGGTGAGTTCCACGCTGTGTGGCTGATGAGCGGGAGAGCAAGGTGAAGATGCTGTCGGCAGGGGGCTACCATAAACGTAACCCATCAGGTGCATGACCACATATGCGGAGGCTTCAAAACCATTAAGGGCTTTCGTAACGTGTGTACGGGAGCACACAGGATTCGCAGTTGAAAAAAGTTGTCTTCCTCAAATGCCGAAATAGACCACTGCCAAGTCGTTGCGGCTGCTTGAAGGATGCCTGCGCGGCTATACGCCGAGTTTAGCAGGCAGGCTTGCCAGCGTGTAGGAGTGAATTGCAGATGCTCGCCCAAGCTCCAGATCAACCTTTGCAGTTCTCCCTTCAATTCCTTTGAGGTACTTGTGCCGAGCATCGCGCCGGTTGATGGTGGAGCTGGAATCACCGAGACGGGGTGCTGAGGGGAACGGGGATCTTCATCCAAGCTGGGCTGTATCTGCACGGAAACCTTATCCAACAAACGGACCGTTGACATGTTGGTCCTTCGGGATCCATCATCAGGTACGTGGGGCACCCCAAAGCCAATACCATCTGTGACGTGTATAGATGGTTCTCTGACGGTTGGCGAGGATGAGCTTGCATCAAAGACATGTTCTTCAAGCTCGAATGGAGTCTTTCTTTATCCGAACCTATTGATATATTGTCGGAACTAGCGGTGGATGGGCGGGTCAGGATTCCCAACTCATTCGGCATGCTGGCATCAAGGTCAACGAGGCTCATCGCTCAAGTACGATTAGACTGCGTACTCGAACGGACTGGCTCATGAATACATCCCTTGCGTCGAAATCGCAGACAACGTTCTCATCGGGATCTTCAGCATAGTCAACTTGCAGAGATAGGGGCCATAAGAGGAAACTTCCAATCCTGAGTCAGGCGACGACTGAGATGGTATACTTCATCGGGGCCTGACCGATGACCTCCTCTGATTGTCCCCATATCAACGAACTGCGACAAGTGGTTCCCGTCGAGTGAGGTGTCAAGATCACAACGTTCGGTTGCCGACGTCGCCCGGGTTGTTTTGGTGGCTGCCAAAGGAAGTGGACGTCCGGCCCATTTGCATTCCGAACAGTGTGAGCATCTCCGCCGCGGTCTACTTCGCGAGCCTCATCCAATGTTTCAAAGATCCACTCATCGTTCAGAGGAGCAGATGACGAAATGTTTGCAGGCCCCTGCGCACCGCCTGCGGATAAGAGGGACTGCCTACTTCCACCTTGCATCTCCCAAAGTCTATAGGCCTTGACAAGCTGAGATAGTGATGTAGTAGGAAATTTACTAGTGGTGGGCAATATAAGGATGTGTCTGGACCTGCTCGATACTAGGTCGTTGAGCCGGATCTTGGATCATGCCAAACGCAATAATATCTCGAAGATGAGGCGAGTATTGGTCTCCTTCGAGCCGTGGACAGTTCTGTTCAAGATGTGAGCCAAAGTTCGCCATATCAACTGGGCCGGCCGCATTAGGCGGAAGTCCGGTGGCCACTTCGTAAGCCATTGATCCAAAGGCCCCAATATCAGCCTCAATACCGTACGATGCTGAGGAGGTAAATAGCTCGGGGGCAATCCACTGGATTGTGCCCGTAACAGTGCTTCTCTTATCGAACTTGGTCTCGATTATCCCGGCGACGCCAAAGTCACAGAGTTGAACGCTTCCGATGTCGGTAATGAGGACATTAGCAGATTGGTACTCCGATGAATGACGCCATGGGGTATTCAATACACAGCCTCAGTAACCTCTCGCAAAATCGGCATAATCCACTTCTCTGGCAATCCCCCAGTTGGTTTCATCAGAGTAGCGACACTACAGCCAGCACAATACTCAGTAATCGTCCAAACAGATTGGCCAGCGAAATGGGTATCAAGAAGCCGATTGGTATTTTTCGCTCCTCTATTGTTGAGAAGTTTCAGTGTGTTAGCTTCCTTTAAAATATCACCGAATGTATCCGTGCCGCCGTGGTGAATGCTGTCGCCCTCCTCAAATTTAACGGCAACCAGTCGCCCTGATTTTAACCCACGGGCTTTATACACCCTGCCGAAGCTTTCTTTACCGATGAGGACCATTGACTCGTAAATTGGCGGCTCTGTGCCATCATTTGCGCACTCTTCCGCAATAAAGGATTGGGTCTCCTTAGCATCTTCAACTGCGCTCTCCTTGATTCTAGAAGAGTCGGCGGCATCGACCTGGGCTGTCAGCGTTGCCATCGCTATGGCATATTCGAAATGTTGTTTGGCGTAGGCGTCGATTTGAACTGTCGTGATTACGGACGATCGAGCTTGTTGTCTCGATAGGTGGTGATTCCGACACCCTGTCGCTCAGCTGAGTGTAACTAGGGGTCAGGACTTGGACCAGCGTGCTTTCACTTCTGAATTAACAACGGCACCACTCCTGTAATCTTGAAAGCCGGCCAACCTTTCGGTGCTTACGGCGTATCCCTCGTTCAACCAAACGGACGCCACGAGACGGTGGTGATGAGCTTTTGGCAATCAGTTTGGTTCAAGCCTAGCATGCCCAGGCGTATATTGCAGCACAGCCATTGGTCTGTTGGTCAGTTGCCTGGTGTCAAGTTGCTTCTGTTCAGTCGGCCCTTGTTGTGCAGCGGTGAAGGCCATTGGCATATGCGTTCGCTCACCGCTCACCACTCTCCAGCTGCTGTTCTACTCATTTTCGTCGTTGGTCGCTGAATGAGCGGCAGACCGCGGGTGCCGAGTCTCAACCATACCGTCCATGCATCTATCTGGCCATAGCGTATTGGTCAACAAGGCATGTCTATGTTGTAGTTGACGGTCGATGTGGACAGCTGAATCGCCAGGAACAGTACCCTGCATGAAGCGGTGCAATGCCGTGGAACATCGGTGTCTCAAAAAAAAAAAAAAAAACAGAAAGAGAAAAATATCTTACCGTGTGTAACATGCCATCCGCACACCATCCAATGAATGGATGCTTCCAACCGACCAAGATGCTCGTGTTTGATATGCCAACTGAGGTTGGGTCCTTCAGCCATCCATACGGCAGATTCAGACGACAGCGAACAATTTGACGATTGATTCCTTTTTTTTTGTCTCCAAGTCAAGTCATAAAGATAAAAAGACTGAGAAGCCGAGGCCCGAATCAATGAAAAGTTGGCGTAGGGGGAGGAGACGATAATGTCCCCGTATCTCTAAGCTACATATGACAACAGTTTTCTGGATACTTCTAGAATCAAAGACGCACGAAAACTTGCGTAACCATATATGAGAGTGGGGGGGCATTGGAAAATTTTCAGCTCTAAAAGCAGTCTATCCATGCCACATTTGGGTCTTAACACATACGATGATTTGCCGCGCATGACTTCTTGATGACGCACCATCTTTAGACACCCAAAGGTCGGGCAATCCAAGACCTACCAACAGCAGCAAGGGTCCAAATTCAACTATCGAGATCATAGACGTGGCCTTGCCTATACCACTGGCCCCGTGAAAGTCCCTGTCGAATGGTAAGGATGATAGCGCACGCGATGGAAGCACACGACGACGACATGATTATCAAGTACCCCGCGAGGACGAGATCTAATGTGCTCATCGCATAAATTCATTTTGCATTTTTGTGATACACATCTGTGGTCCAGGTGCATAGCAGACGAAGCAAAAATGCCACACCAAAGAGGGGAAAAGCATACCACACAATACGAATGCCCAAAAGCTTGGCCACGTACGCCTCGCAAGGCTTGCATCATGTGTGATGAGCTGGCATAGTCTTGGAAACGACTAGACACGGCGCGTATTAGCTCTTAGAACACATATAAATAGCCTCTCACTTATCCGTAGCATTTACATGCCCTTCTTCCTCTTTATCCCCTTCAAGCACCAGATACCGTGTCTTCTGCACCCAATACCTGCTCTTCAAACTCCCTCATTCCATAAGGGAATTTTTTTTTTTTCAACTTGACTATCGTCCACCAGAACTCCCAACATGACCACCATCGCAAGCGTCAAAGTCCAGAATGCTTCGACCACCACGTTTGCGGTCACCGATGGCGCCAATAGTCACACACTTCCCGCGGCAACTCCTGGACAGCCAGGCGTTCTAGATCTTAATATCCAAATAGCAACCTACACTATTAAGAACGGTAGTCTTGTTGCTGGAAGCATTACGATTCACTCCGACGCCACGGTTACCATAGCACCCGGAAATGGTGGTCTTCACAGTCCAATCTCCGTGGTGACGGAGCTCAGTCCTGCGTAGTAAGGTCAGGTATATTCCCTACACTGTCTCTGTCGTTCAACTTGAAGGGACTAAACAGAAATTAGGGTTCGTGAGTTACGGGGCTGTGGGATCTTTGCCGCAGGCATAAAATATGGGCATTGTTGCCGTCAGAGTCGCGAGGGAGTGTGCTTTGCTCTTGGTCAGATACAACAAGGTTGCAGAATCAAAGTCACAAACAACACGTATGCACCGCAGATAGTTCATTAAATACTCAATGAAGAATGGCGAGCTCAATGTCTCATTAGACAATTTGAAACAAGGCAACTGATGTTGTGGCCTGGCCATGTCGCAACGGGGACGGCTTTACATCGGTCCTGTGGCTGGTCAATAGTCATTGTCAAGCCTCAGTACAGTCGTGATGTTCTTCTGGTTGTGACCAATGGTCCTGTTTGCACTTTTATCTACACCTGGCCGTTTTTGTACTCTCTGAGAAGTCCTTTTCCAGATATAGTCGCCGTGTCGAGTCCTCTCACCCGTGGTAAGACTAAGAAGTGCCGAAATAGACGGTTCGAGGTTGGAGTAGCTTTGGAAGTGGTGAAACGAAAGGACTTCCGCTGCGCCGCTTTTACCGCTCATGTCTTCTTGCAGAATCTCAAGCTGATCAATGGCCACGCTGTTCAGGTCAATGGTCAGAGCAACAGGCTAACTACAGTAGTGAGAATGTCGACATGCAATCTTCGAAACGCGTTTCCCAGAAAAATATGGAGTGTATTAACTATGATTAGTAAAATACTTGATAGAAAACGCTAAAGTCTTGTACGCTTGGTCTAGTACAAAGTTATTTCATATTACTAGCCTACTTAAGGTCTTATACCTGCAAGTACCTTACTACCTACGTACTTGTTGCTTTATTGCTATTGATTTCCAAGCTCTACCTTTCCCAAAGCTCTTTTGACGTACAATTGAGTCATAATCAGTTAACTAGAGGGTCGGCTAGTGCAAGTAGTTACTTGTACTGTACCTCACAATAGTAGATAAGGCCTCCTCGGTTGACTAGCCCGTAGCGAGCACGTTATATATCTACTAGTACATCTTGATATAAGCTCTATGCTTTTCTATTTCTAAAATAAGTAAATTTCATTAATTTGATAATAGTATGGGTATAAATTTATTACCGGAACTATACCAACACCTTTATCTTTTCCCAGTAGGAAGCGAATCTTGTAATTACTAAACTGGCAGTTATTGTGAAACTTAAAAAAAGAAGACCTAGAACCATGACTACATCATAAATCACACATCCAGCACATATATTCTCTCTATAATAGGTGCAGAATCGCGTGCTTTTACAACAATTACAGGTATATGGGTCTATATATATTGAGTCAACTTCATAGTCTCACACGTGCTCTTGTATTGTCTACACATCACGGCTGAGACCTTCCATATCGAAACCCATTCTTCCTTTACGTAGTTCTCACTTGACAGCTTGTCCTTTGGCGGCAACGAGGTAGAAATGTCGCGTGGCTCCAGTAAGACGCTCCGAGACACCGCCTTACGACACGCTCAGGTCCTGGCTTTTAGGTCCTCCTCAAAATCCTTAAATATATCAACGCTGTGCTTTGAGGGTATATAGGCGAGTTGCAAGGTAGTACCCATGTGTGGTGTTGTTGTTCATCTCCAGAAACCCAGGCTCCTGGAGGTGTGCTTCCGGTGCCTAACCATGTTAGAAGTACCACATACGACTCTGCTTGTATGACTTCATCCGAAAGAGAATATTTAGCGGCAAAAGATGACCTTGCGATGCCGTTTTTGACCAAGTTTGGCTTGCCACAGCATCTTGGGGGACAAAGATCCCACTGCGGCATGCGGAGCTTCCAGGCCCGTGATCATCCACTTGACGGGCCTGTTTTCCCAAGGTATGAGAGGGGTCTGGTAGCTACTGCCCAGTGCAGATACGTATGCACAAGGGCGTTCCAAGGACATGTTGGGGGGTGCAGAGTTCGATATAACTGGGGCTTCTAAGTTCTAGCCGCACATGCCTTATTCACTCACCCCTTGGACCACTCGGCTCGTAATGTTTGCCTGCCCTTGGTAATATTGTTTTTGATGCTCTATAGTAGTTAAACAGCATGTGGCATAGTGTTGGACAGAATAGGCTCACGGGTCTTCCGCAGCGTTCCAAGATAACAAGTAGTTGGGAGCCAAGGGCGGCGCCAGGTGGGAAGAAACCCAAAAGCAAAAGACTGAAGAGTTCCCATGCCGCCCGGGGCCGTGAAAGATGCAACAATCAGCCCATGGAAGCAGTTGGAATGGTCCGTCACGTTTTCTGCTCGCATATTACGCGTCATGAACGACAGGTTTCAGGAGTTGCAAAGTCAGATCACTAACAAAGAGGTGGTGATTGGAGGGCTGTGGAGCAAGTTGGGAAAATTGCAGGTCCGGGAGCGGGAGTTGCTCGCATCATCTTACTATGGAGGGGCTTCTTAGGGGTTTGCCATCCTTGCACTCTGGACCAGAGACTTTGTCTTTTCCGCAGATTCTTGATTCAGGCGATCGCAATCCCTCTTGACGAGTAAACCGTGTTCTCTGAGATACTTGGTGTAGCGCTCAGAGTTCTGAACGTGGCGCTCAACTTGCTCTACAAGAGACTTGTTGCTTTCTTCGGCCAAGAATTCATCAATCACTATTTCCCCACGTACTTTGAATCCAAATTGTTCTCCAAAGAGGAAGTAGTAGTATATCTTTAAAAGACTACACGGGTCGCGGAGTATATGAAGCATCGGGGATATTTCTCGTAGTTGTGTTATGTTTCGAAAAAGTCCCCAATCTTGCGAAAGCTGTGCACATCCGCTGGACCTGTTTTGCGTTTCCAAAAGGACTCCGTGGACTTCTGGGAAGACGTTGCAACTAGGAATGCCCGTCCAGATGCGTTGAGTGCTAAAACAATGGCCCATGATCCATGATGGTGGTATAAAAAATTGTTGTGGGATCGTGCTTGCAAATTCCCAGTCGATAATACCCGCAATATGGAAATCATCTGTAACAATGATGTTGCCACATCTCAAGTCCGGATGGGCGAGTATAAATTCTTCGGGCTCCTGCAATTTGATGCGCTGCGGGACTTCATTGAGAAAGCGATTGAGCGCAAATATCTCCCTCTTTGCCTCATTATAACTAATTTCCTCAACTGGCAACTTGCATGTTTCGGACAATCACCACCAGACAACCACAACAACAAATGGGATATTGACGCCCACAGCGTCTTGAGGAAGTGAAGTGGGGTAACTAGAATTCATCCCCAACTGAGCAGAACAATGCTTAAAAACCAAGCGATTGATGACGACAAGCCTGCGACAGGCCCGAGAGCCAGAAGGGGGCACGAAAAGGAGCACTGAGATTTTGGAAAAGCATGAATCCGGCGCCGGATCAAGGGGGGTGAAGCCTGTGTTGGTTGTGCTTACAAATTTAACCAGGTGACACAAAATTCTTCTACCTCACCAGTGCATGCATACTTCACCGTACTAATAAATGCAGAGAGGGTGCGTAGTGTGTCACCAACTGCGTCTTCTGCTATCTACATCAGAAAATCCTGCTAATCAATGATTATCAAAATCCTTAGAGTTATTCATATTAAAAACAGTATTTTCATTTAAATATCTAGCTCTATGAGGTGTATGATTAGTTGAGCGGTGTGACAAGGGCTCAATAGAGGGCTTGAAGCAAAAGGGCTCAATTCAATGATAATCTTGTAGGATGTCAAAGGTCCTTGGTTTCCTCCAAACTAGAAGGCGAGGGGAGACCATCTTATATACATGAAAGGAACGGCCCGTGCCTAGTGTGCCTTATAGTTCTTGTAATCTCTTTATATAATAAAGGGCTTTTAATGCGGTGAACCCATTGCCAAAGGTCAAATGCCAACTCGGGCTTTCAAAGATGGCGACCAAGAGGGAGAACCCTGAGCGTAAGACAGCACTGCGGGACATGGAAGCGGTCCAGGTCCGTTCCGCCATGTGTTCTGTGCGTATTTCTCACTCGCCGAAAGACAAAATCTACCACACTAATTCGCAGAATAGATCAAGAAGCACCCAGTCCGTCTTAGCACCAACTTCTAAGGAACCTCCACGGAAGACAAAGTCATGAATAGAACAACGGCCGTCAAACCAAAGGAGACATCACAAGGATACCTGCAAGGGCGCCTGTTCCCCGTTCTGGTCGTCTTCTATTTGTCTGCCGAGTGGAAACCCTCCTAAAACCGTCCATTACGAATCAATTGGATATTTGCAACAAAATAACTCACTATCCTTTCAATCTAGCCAAAAATCGTCTAAACTCTCCAGAAAATCTAAATCTACATCAATAAAGCTTTTCCAAACATCAATCTCTCTCAGCCACGGCTTCGTCTGAATGGCGAACGTGACGGCCGTGCAAGTCTTCAGCAGCTCCTCAGCATCTTCGGCCATTACAAAAATCAAGTCTCCACGACTAACGACACGGTCTCCAAACTTATTTTGCAATCGCTCCAATCGCTTCAAAGTGTTCCAGCGTGCGCTGAACTCGCTCCCCGGCATATCTTTGGGCGCGAAATTCCACTGCCACGATCGGCCGGCGCTGTCAAGGAAGCTGAGTCCATGCCGGTTTTCCGGCCCGACGCTCAGGGGGTAGAAGTGCGGCGCCGACCACTGCCGAAGAAGCGCAAAACGCGCGCTCTGGTGGCCTTTGGCGAATTCTTGGGCGAGCGGTAGCAGGACAGGCCATTGGTGTGGGTGAATATAGCACGCGGGGAAAGTCGGGGGGGGACAGCTGTTATACGGATCTTCATAGTTGATGAAGAGATCTAGCTTATCGGGGCGGTGAGGCTCCGTATTGGCCGTGGCAATGCCAGGAATGATTTGTGCATCACTTTGACAGTGTAAGGGCGCGATCGCCCCTGCTCGATATACTACGAATCTGTTGTTAGCGAATCTTGCGAGGTTGGTGATGGGACTGGCGAGATTTAACTGACAATGTGCAATGATGGGACGGATCGCAAGGCTCCAGTCATAGGGGTATATATCGGTGAAATAGCCCCGTGAGTCCAAGACTTCCTTCCACTTTGCCCAGAACTCTGGTTTGCGATATTTGTAACTCGTTGGACTTCTTCGATCGGGCAAGTTTGCTGCTCGCTGCTTCGGACTAAAAAGATCCGAGTTCCTGAATTCTTTACACTCATTTGACTCCAGGAACTTGGTCACAGGCTCGGTCGCTGCCAACCCGGGGAAGAACATGGCCATAGTTGCAAATGCCTGGACTAGATCGTAGATCCAAAAACTGTGTGACCATGGTGAGGAGCGATGGTGATTGTACTTCGTACGCAATTGAAGCCAATCCATTATCTCGACGACAAACCAGACCCAGTCTGTTGACCCAGAATGGCTACACCCAAGGATCTGCTCAATCTTTTCTTGAACCTGGAAGTACTTCTCCAAACTTCCTGGTTCAAGATCTCCCCCATGACATGCTTCCTTAAAGTCTGCCGTATACATTAGCGTCATCTGCAATAATCATAGCTGATTCCACTTACTAGTGGACCTCTCATGCTGCAACAATTCCATGCTATCTGCTTCAGCAAGTCGTTCCCCAAATCGTTCCTCAAATAATGAGCTCGCTTGCATTGCATCTAGACCCGTCCGCTGGAGACGGATATTTTGTTGACCGTTAAGCGCCTCCTTTCGCACCTGTTCTATAGCCGACTCCCATAATTCAGGTGAGTCCCATAGAAAACCAACTTTATCGTCACTCGCGTTGGATAGGTAACCATCTTCCTCATCATCGCTCTCGTTGGATAGATAACCATCTTCCTCGTCGTCACTCGCCTTGGGGGATGGTTCTCGCCCCTCATATCCTTGCAGCAGTAACATCCCGGCCTTTTGGCTTCTCAGAAGATGCCGGGCCCTACTGGGCAAAACACCGCTCTCGATTCGAATAACGCCATCTTTCATCTCATTAAAAGGCACGTTTCGCTTGTTTGAGATGAGCTCATCCGGGAATAATATTTGATCTTCGAGGACGTTGGCTTCGTTATAAAACAAGTATGGCGAGGCGGACGCTTCTGATGCGTCACATCTAGTAACCGACTCTCCGTTCCCGTTGACGAGGACTAACTCGTTCCTTTCATCCATGAACTCATCCCAGAGGGTCTCGACATCCTCGCCTGCCTTGACTTGCCGAGTGCGCATTGAGCCTTCTACCCAAGTCAGAGTTCGCAAGAGCGGCTCCATGTGTGCGTAGATGCCGCGCACATTAGTGATGCGCCGTGCATTCTTAAGCTCCTGAAGTGTGTTCCGTTAGCCAACACTACATTCAGACGCCGGCGTGAGACGGAGGACTTACATGTATGATGTTGTTGTATGTTGCCATTGCCGACTGACAAGGTACAAAGTCCCAGATGAAGACGTCGTAATAGTCATCGAATCCAAAGCGCCAGTTCCGCAAGATGTCGAGCATCCGAAAATATCCAGGACCAACCTCTAAGACATTGACATATTCGTTTTTGGAAGCTCTTCCAATGCCCTGCTTTTGGCGGTATGTCCACAAGAGTTGCTTAGGAGGAGCTGTAACGACGCGACCGGTCTTGCCATCCCGCACGAGCAACAGCAGCTCTCCGGCCCGCATTTCGAGATATTGCAAAAATCGTCGAGTGACGGGGTCGTTGCGCTTCATGTGGCCGACAATGATATTTCGCGTCTCGATAATATCATGTTGACGTCGACCGTGGCTTCTACCACTGACCTGATTATATCGGCTGTGTTGTTGAGCCTCAAAATCGATAAAGTAAGGAAAGAAGCCTAGTTCTTGAAGCTGCCGAACCATCTGGCTGCTGCCCCATGGGACCCAGTTCGACGCGGGGAAGAATTGCCACAGAGTGAGCAGATTCAGGTCCGAGAATTCAGCCCAGTTGCGGCATAACTGGAAGGCATTTTCAAGGCTGCAGTCTTTGGCCATGACAGAAAATTGGAGCCAGCCATCTAACGACATGGCGTTTTCGCTGGCGTGGTTCCAGATGCTTTTGCCACAAATTGTGACTTTGGTCTTGCGTGACCTAGACTTTTTCTGTTGCCGTGAAAGAAGGCCGCTCTTCTCACATGCAAGTTTATCTAGCAGCCAGTAAGGAGTATGAAGGTTCGCATAGCGCCGGATCTCAAGGATCAGTTCTAACAATGATTCATCGTCCTCATCATCGTCCTCATCTTCGTCCTCATCCTCATCCTCGTCATCCTCGTCATCGTCCGCTTCGTCTCCTCGGGAAAAGTCGGCACACGCATCTCTTATGACTTGAAGGGTAGGATCTGCAACCTTCAAGCAGATGTCTCGCAGATCAGATTCGGCAACATCGGCATCGTTGAGAAACTCCTCTACGCTGTTGGCTCGGATAGCAGCAGGTAGCATGGATGCCTGTGCGAGGATGAGGCGGCTGAATAGCAGTCGTTTAATTTCCCTGATATCCTTGACGACGGAATCGATCTCATCATCCGTCATCGGTGCCGTCTTTTCGACAGTCTCGTGGGGATTTTCCAACGCGCTAACAATCTGGAAATCCCAAAAGCCATCGTAGTTCTTCTTGACTCCTTCAGCAAGCCGTTTCCTCATTTCTGCTTCCGTCTCAATGTTGATCATGTTTGGCTCCTGCAGATCCGGTTTAGCCGTGGCTTGTCCGCTTTCCTGCATTGCCAAGAGCCTCTTCTGCCCCCTGCTAGCCACGTTCCGAGCGTCTGAAGATCCACGGGATCCATTATCAGAAGCTGCTGTGCCTTTGGCCTTTTGCTTCTTTTTGGACTTGGCGACGGTTGTCTGCGGCTCACCACTGTGGCCAGCCTCTTGAGCGGTAGCGTCTGAACCAGCCCGGTGTACAGCATCTTCACCTGCGCCCAATACTTCCATCCAAAGGAAGTGCCTAATCAAGTCAATGTAACTTTGTCTTTTGTCGTGTCCCGCATCTTCAATAGGATCCCAGTCGCCGTCGTCGTCTGCCTCATCCGCTGACATGGACATTCGCTCTCTATATGCGTCCTCAAGGTACGCGTCTTGGCGCTTCTTTTCCTCCCTTTGTCGAATGATTTCTAACCTGGTTTGCAGATTCTTCATGTGACGTTTGAAAAGGGCAGCTTCTTGCCTCGCCTTCTTCTGCTCCTTCTCGCCATTTGCTTCTTCCGTTTCCTGTACTTTGCGAACCCAGGTAAACCACTTCTCCTTCTCGTACAATACCTGGGCGGTTCGCTTTTCAAGCATTCCCAAAGCTCGAAGAACAGTATGACGTTGACTGCTAAGCTTGTCAAGGTATGCTTGATGACCATAGTCAACCTGAAGTGGGTAGAAGTGTTTATGGTGCAGCTTGCGAGCATCGATGACCTTGCTGAACAAGACATACTTCTCAAACAGATGGGAGTGTACTTGTCGAAGCACCGTCTCGTCTTGGATGCTTTCAAACTTGTCGTTGGCGAGAGGGACGTGGGAGTTTTTAAGATATGCCGGGGCTTCATCGTCTATCGCGTCTAGTTGGGCATTTCGCCGTTTGTAACCCTTGTATAAACCATGAGCCTGCTTGGCATGGAGCCTGCAGAAGAGGCCGTTTGCGTTTGTCGCGGCATCCTGGCATGTCTGGCCATCGGACAAACGCAGGGCCTGCTCGGAAGTCTCACGGTCAGTGCTGCTCTCGTTGAGAGGATATCTTTACACCTCACCTGACATTGTGGCTGGATTGGCATCATCGTGGCACAAGGTTCAAATCAACTGGCAACATATGCTGAACACCGTTGAGCTTGTCTAGCCAGACCACACTCTTGGGTGACTGAAGACATGTCGTGTTTTTTTTTTCACTTGTGGCCCCCGTTTCTTGTGACATTGAAGGCTGTGTCGAAATCACAACTCCACATTCTGATTTGCCCTGCAAGCGGTCCAATGAAAATATTATCTGGCAAAATGCAAGTGTAAAATAAATAATGGTTTTCATGTGCATTTCAGGCGAGGCTTCGGACTTTACCCAGTCGGCTACGACACACGCCACCACTATCTTTACAGGATATGATCACAACTCATATCTAAACTCCTTGTTTTGGACATCAGTTAAATCCAAGAACTCGTGATTTTTCTCAACAACGTAAGCACCACCAGCAGCTGCCTTTTCCTGATCACGATTTCCGTTCCTTCTAGCCAGTACCCACCTCATGGCATATAGATCAACTATACACAAGAAGTAAATAATGCATATGGATATCTTGGCCGGCAGGTATCGCGGTGCGTCCTTCTTCTGAAACGTCTGAGGCGAGATAATGTTGCCAACAGTGAAGGCAATGGTTCCAAGACATGCAACCGTAACCTTCTTGGTTGAGCCCGCCACATTTGTGCTCTGTAACCCAAGAATCGTTGTCCAACCAATAGGAAGACCACCAGTCTAGTAGTAGCCGATTAACGCGGGAACTTTACTTGTCGTGGCCATCAAGATTGCGCCAATAATGGCGGGGATATGGCCAGCAATGCACCACAGAATTCGCTGTCTAGTCTTCATTGCAAGCCATGTCAGACCCGACAAGGCGACAATTTCATACGCTCCGAGAGGAGTGACGAGGATAAGAGACTCCTGGCTAGAGTAGCCCATGCCCTCGACCAGCAAGTTGCCGAAACTGGTAGCGGTAGAGTTGGGGACATTGGCCGCAAAAATCCAGAAGCAGTATAGCCAAGTCATCGAGTCGGTCAGAGCTTCCTTTACTTGGCTCCATTTGAACTTGTCAGATCCAATGCCCCTGCCCGTTGCTTCGAATTCGCTGGATGTGGGCTTCCTTGTCCTCCAGTGACAAGAACCTTGCCGTGGCGGGAGAATCTGGGATCAGAAAGTAGAAGGCAATTCCAACAACGGAAGTAAGCAGACCCAGGAACAAAAAGATAATCTGCCACCCTTCGAGCGCAGCGTTCGGGTCGCTACCAGCATGTTTGGAGACACCGTAGGCGAAAAATCCACCAAACATCTGGGCTGCTCCGCAGACGGAGAACCAGAGCCAACCTAAAAAGCCTGTTCCTTCTTCGTATACCATTGTGAGGTGAAGAGCACCCAAGCAGGAACGACAGCGGCTTCAAAGACACCCAGTAAAAATCGACACACCAGTAGAGAAGCGTAATTCTTGCAAGCCGCAATGCAGGCCAGGACAGCCCCCCAAATAAATACATTGATGGAAGCGTATTTAGCGAGAGGGAAGAGCTGAATTAGCCGAATTGTTGGAAATTCAAACGCGAGTTGGCCGAAAAAGAAGATGGACGCCACCCAGTTGAACTGGTTTCCGACAAGGCCTGTGGCTTCTTGAATGCCAGTTACGCTGGCGTATGAAATGGAAGTCTTGTCAATGTACTGCAAGAAGTACACGACGCAAATGAGCGGCATAATATGATAGTCTATGCGACGAACAAGGCGCTTCTGCTGCGCTGGATCGAGAGGAGTTGTTGACAGGTCTCCAGCTTCGTTGATAAGTTCCAGGGCCGCGTCAAGTCCGGAAGATTTATTACGGCTCAGTTTGGGAGAGAGAATCGTATCATCAAAAGAGTTGCTAGCAGCCTCTGCTTTCTCATTCTCGGCTTCAGGATTTCCAGCGCCCAAACGTGGCTGAAGTTGGGATCTCGCTTCAGCCATCGTGGGATGCGTGTGCTGATTACGGCGAGAATCCTGCGGCATACAAAGACATAAATGGGAACCGACTGACGTTCAACCGAGTTCTTTATATCATGATTACCGACGTCGGCCAACTGTTTAGGATCCACTTATGAGCCATGTAAGCGTGAGCACATCATTGGAGGTCAAGACCCGCCAGAAACTATCAGCCGTTCAAATAGAGCACGGCAACTAATTAAGCTTAACCATAATTTTTAGTGTCTCAAAAAAGATGGAGATTTCGATAAACTATACTTTGTTGTTATCCAAAGTGAAAATAACCGTTCTGCGTTTCCTCCTTAAATAGCCTAACTGGTCAATGGCCGCCCAGTCGGTTGGTTGGTTAGTTAGTTGACGTTGACATTGGGGCCGACAGCGCCTTGATGCAGGCGTGGGGCTTGGATGAGCACGTCATCTTCAAGCGCCATATCGACAGTCAAACTTATCAATGGATCTTCAGCAGGAGGCTTGTTGCTAGGCATCCTTTTCTCCGCAGGCCCCAATAGCCCTAGGACCTAGATAATGTCGCTGCCAAGTCATCTACTCCCAGAATCGACACGATGTCACGTCTCCTTTTCCTTTATATCTTGCAACACTTTTGTAACATCTTTTACATCCTGGTGTTCAAGGCCCAAGACCTCTATTTGCCGTGGAAGCAATACCGACAAAATAGCCTCTGCTTGCTCAGCATCCCCTTCCCCGTTTGCCGCAAGACCATATTGCATCTCAGCCCACAGCGTCAAGCGGCTGTTCGGGCCAAACATCTTTTTTCGTTCGTCCACCACCATGCGGAATGTGGTTTTGGCTTCACTGTATTTGCCCTGTTGCATGTAAATACCCGCGAGAATGTTGAGGTCCGCAACTGCGTCCTTGGGCAGGTCACTCGTGATCTGTTCACCGTCCCGATCAGATTTGCGTAGCCGGTTCTCTAGAAATCTGTACAGTTCCTGTGCTTCATCATTCCGGCCAAGCTTCGCCAGAATTTCTGCAAGCGTGAGACGGGACCGAAGCGTATGTGGAGAGCTAGAACCAAACTGCTGGGTGGAAGCTTCGACGGCATTCCGAAGGAACGTCTTTGCATCCTCGAGCCTGCCTTGGCGCGACAAGACCCAGCCCAGGCTGTCGTAGGCGAATGAAAGTGCTGGATTCTCGTCAGAGGACGTACGTATGATGTCCTCTATCAGCCTTTTGAGTAACTCTTCCGCATCTGCGTAGCGTCCATTGCGTTTGAGGTCATCTGCCAGTGCCTGCCGAGCCGCGATGACCAAATCCTGGCAATTCTCCCCATCCATGGATGGAGAAGAAATTTCAATTGCTTCCGTCAACTGGGGCGCGACCCTATCGCCACGCTCTGGCAACCAACTATACAATTCAGCCAGTTCAATCCGGCGGCGTAGACATTCAGTGGGAGTCAATTTCTTATTCGTGCTCGTCTCCGCAAAGAGTCCCTCATAAATGGACTCCAGCCATCTATCAATATTTCGACGAACCTCATTTCGTCGGGCTTGCTCAAAGTAATTCACTACCTGTGCCTTTAGCATGGAAATATAGAAGAAACGAGCATTGATTGGTGGCCGAGGTGGAATAGGCAGGACAGAGTGCGCGAGTAATTCGGGAAGTAACTTGATAACCCACTCCTTCGCATTTGTAGATTGAAAGAAGAGCTCAACTTGGTCTTTCAGGTGTCGGTCTTCTTTGCTCAAGCTCAAATGGTGGACCCAGTAGAGGCATGCGTATTCTGCCAACGGATAGAGGTTGCGAAAGTCCTTCGAGCTCGGCAGATCAGTAACGTGCCGGAATGACGTGTGCATGAGATACGCCAAGAGACATGCCGTGATCTTGTGATGCTGTTCGCTGACCCATGTAGCTTCATTCTCAGCAGGCGATGACGCTTTACTGTGCAGAAAGTCCAGGAGGGAGTGATGGACAAGTCTCAAATAGCCGGCCTCAAACTTGACGAGAGATCCACATACTTCTACCGCAGTAGCTTCCAAGTCGGCGATGAATATGTTGGTTTCTGTAGATATGGCGTTTGCGACTTCCACAGGTGTCATTGGCCTTACTGAAAATGCCAGCCATCGTAGAATAATATCTCGAAGCACAATATGTGTGTGGTGGAGGTTCTTTGACTGTTGCTCAAATGCATCTCGATAAAGTCCATTCAGAGAAGTAGGAAGGCGCCCCAACCGTGAGTCAATATTTCCCTCGCTGGTTTTGGTTTCACTCGCGAGAACTTTGATAGCAAGTGATGCCCAAATGAAGATACCCTCAGATTTCCGGGCTACAGCTGTGCTGACATTGTCGGCTTCCAAGCCTAGCTGTGGGTATTTGGCAGCCTCTGACAAGCAAAACTGTCTCATGTCGTCAGCAACCTTGGTAGCTGTTACTTGAATAGTGGGCGAGTCCCTGAGTGCGCGTAGAATGCTGGACTGTGGCCGACTGAGCACAAGCAGTCTGACGTTTTCGGCAAGAGTTGTAGTCAGCTCAACCAACCTGGATGGGAGGTCAAACTTCAGGTGTGATAAGGACTCATTTGGCAACTCGTCCAGCCCATCTATTATGAGCGTCAGGCGCGATGACTCCCCGACGATGAATCTGAACTCGTCCCAGGTTTTGTAGCTGGCATCGTATGGCAGACTCGCTGTGTCTTTGTATTTATCATCAACGAGTTTGGAAGCCCGTATCTTCAGAGGGTCGCTAACTTCCGGACGTGATACAAGTTGAGCTGCGAGGTCATGTACTAGCAACTCCGGAGTAGACTGTGCCGTGCAGTGTGTGGTGAGCACTGGTGATTCAGGGCTGACCCCTACGACATCGCCGGCAACGAAGTCGGCCAGAAATGTCTTGCCTATTCCCACTGGCCCTTGGATCCATAATACGGGTGAACTGCTCTCATTCCACGACTTCCATGCCTGATAGACTGGCTCCTGACGAAGCCACTCGCAAGTCTGAGGTAGACGGTGTCGCTTCCTCACCGCCTGCTCAGCTTCAGGATTGCCAGAGACGCTGAAGGCCCTCTTCTTGCTGGAGCTTTCCATGAGGAGAATAAATGGCCGCCCCGCCCAAGATTGAGAAGTTGAAGGCCTTGAGCGGGTGCTTCTGAGCGCCCTGCGTATAAATAACGCCCACATCTAGCACATCTCGGACTAGGTACGACTTCATCTACTCCGTACGTCTCCGTGATGGAAGAGAAGAGTGTAACAAGTCAACTTGGGATTTACACCCTGGTCCCAGTCGGAGTGTGGAGAGGTCGAGACCACGGCCGACCGTCTGCAGGGAATTGCGCCGATATGTACATAAGCTCGTATGTCTCACTACCACAACAATAAAAGTGACGAGCCGACACTATCAAACGCCACAATTTTCAGCCTGCCGTTTTGGTGCATGACCATTCTCCACACTCTTGTTGACAGCCCGCCCAACCACCTTCAATCTATGGAATTTACTCTGTGAACATGCTCGCATGGACACAGAAGAGGAAATTGTAAAAATCCACAATCTCATTGACGTGAAATATCCGAGAGGCAAGTTTGGGTTTTTTTTTCATTTCCAGTACTGATCCAAGGGAACTTGCTGTTCGAACCGCTGGTCTTACATTCATACTGTACTAAATACACCACCCATCAACTACCCAATGTTTCTCTTCATCCTACAAATCGCGTCAAAAATAATTCAGATGATGAAGCTCATTTGCAGCCAACAACTGGAAGAGGATTCGCTGTCGCCTCCTGTTCTTTGCCATTACCCTTATGGTGCCGACGAAATCTTCCGAAAGCGAATAGCTGTGAGACCGACGACTTTCGCTCCGTCTTTGGCATATTAGAGTCTCTCTGTGTTTTGGCCCGAGGCAATCTTTCTTCGGATCTCTTTCCAACAAGTTCTATACCTGGCTGAGGAATGTGTGGTGTGTCATTCCTCAGGTCGGTCAGCAAGTGCATTGCCTCTTCCCATGGAAGAACCCGCGCCAGAGGACCCTTGGCTTCGGCCTGCTTATAATACGCCTGCTTTCTCAAGGTTCTCCCAAAGACGCCAACTTGATACTCGGCATCTTCCTCGTCAACAAGGCTGTTTACGGTGCGGCACCAGTCGAGGAAGTACCCTCCTTTATAATGAACATATCGCTGGGCAGCATTCTTTCTGTCTGTTAGCGGTGCTCGCCATGAGAAGAATGCTCGAAAAAGCTCTTACAGTTCCAATATTGATCTCCTCTACACCATAATCTAATATTGTTCTTTGGATCTGGCCGATTTCCTTGACAAACTGTGGGTCTTGGTCTTTTGGTAGAACCGAAATGAAGCCCTTGATCTCGCTGGCAGGTATCTTTGCGAACAGTTAGTGGCGTCTGGCGTCAGCAAGACATTTCAAACGTACCGCAACCCCGGGCCTGTGCCTATATGCAATGGGTAGCCCTTCCAGGTAGTTGTCTATCACCCGGCGGACAAAATTCTCGTAATACCCGGAAACTAACTTGGCTCCAGGCTCGTCGCCTACATTGGCAAGTTAGCGGTAGTCCTGGCATTTGCATAAACTTGCCCCTGACAATTTTCCGACACTTACTCTCATCAACTTCCCACCTAGTGCTGGGGATTCTATGAGTGAGCCAATCCTTGATGGCAACGGCCGTGTTATTCAGAGCATCAGAGTAGGCAGACGCGTCTTCCCCTTTTTTGGAATCCCCAAAATCAGAGACCCCCTTCACCACACCTAGGCAAATGGGACCCTTTGGCTCGAAATGTTTGCAGAGCTGGATAAAAGCGCTCGCTTCCATGTCAAGAGCAATGGCGTTTCGGCCGACCTGGTCTATGAATCAGGCTTCATCCAACGTTTAAAGGTGGCAAGCACATCTACTCACCGACGATCGAATCTTCTCAAATACCTGCGCAGCGTCGCCTCGGACCGAAGAACCGGATATGTACTCCCCATAGCGAATACCATGACGCTTGTGCGACTTGGTAAACCCTTGCATGTCCCCGGCCTCGACAGCGACCGGTTTGTAGTCCGGCAGGAATACTGCATTGCCACCGGGTTCCTGCGCCTCCCACTTGCCCTCTTCATAGTTGATAGCGGCTTCGCCAAATACTACATCGCGCAGCTCTAGCTCCAATTTCCCCGTGGGGTCGTCGAATCCGGCGCAGACGCCCGCGTGTAATACGAATCGAGGAGAAAGCGTGTTGAAGAGTATGGCCGCGCTGACGGCAAAGGACTGGATTCCCTGACGCAGAGAACTGGTGATGTAGTACTGTAGAATATCCCCGGACGGCAGTTTGAATTCACCCAAGTGGAATGTGTGGCCGTCTCTCACCATGGATACGTCATGGCCGCTGAGCCGGTGCTTTTCGTCGTCGATGCCGAGCGCCCGCGCAATCTGCTGTGCTTCTGCGGGCCGGCCGCAGATGATGCACACCGGGCGACTACGGAGTCGGCGCAAATTCGAACGGCTCTCCTTGTCTGTCGGCATGGTGTGCAAGGGTCCTCGGAGTGGACGGCAGTAATGTCTACTATCCGCACATGTGTGATTCGCTCTTTGAACTATCCGGGTGCTCGAGATGATTCACATCGGAGCGGAGCGTGCACTTAATAGCTTGGCTGCACTTGATTTTCATGGCGACGCGTTCATCCTGACTGCGATCAGCAGGTTAGCGCCCGCGACAATGGGTGGTTTCCAGTGAATTTCTGACCTGAGCAAGCCTAAACGGAGCTGAAATCAATATTCTTACATGGCCTGAGCACAATATCCAATGCTAGGCGTCGGAATCCCACGTTGGGTGCGCCACTGACTCCGTGAAGGCCTCGAACCCGTCCTGACACGCGCAGCTGAAGAGGCTATTATTATTAATACATTGTGATGGCTCAGCCCTGTGTGTCTACGTCTCCAGCCACACAACTCCAGGCTATTGCATGAAGTATGCGAGGATAAAACGAGACATGGCTTTAGCTTGGGGGCTGATGCGAGCCTGTGGGCCAATCTACTGGTGACACTGTCCCTTAGACCGCCAGCGGCTGACACAGACGAAGCCGCCAGGTGACATTTCTCTCAAGATTGCGCGGCCGAGTAGCCTCGAAGAGTTACACAGCCATTCGAGCTATACGAGCTGGGCAGAATGTCAATTAGTTCACCTGGACGCTCTACGGGCGCATTATGCGCATGAGAAAGTGGCCACGTTCATCCCTCTCATGGAGCTGTGATTGAGGCATGGAGTCATACGTCCTGTAGTACTGTTTGGAACATGATACTTTATACTCGGTCTAAATGGAAGAATGTGTGGCTGACGATTTATCCACAGGGTACGGAGTACAAAGGCTACAATAGGAAAATTGCGGCCCGATGTGGATCATGGCCCGGGACGGCCCGCCGGGTGAAAAATATGGAGATGGTGTATAGTTATAGTTTTCCCTTCTTCATCGGAAAGCCCCGTACCCCGTAATGTACGGCTTGTTTCACAGACTTCAATGTTATGGCTGAGAGCGAAGCTGGCCCGACGCGTCGAACCCGCCGGGTGAAAAATATGGAGATGGTGTATAGTTATAGTTTTCCCTTCTTCATCGGAAAGCCCCGTACCCCGTAATGTACGGCTTGTTTCACAGACTTCAATGTTATGGCTGAGAGCGAAGCTGGCCCGACGCGTCGAACCCGCCGGGTGAAAAATATGGAGATGGTGTATAGTTATAGTTTTCCCTTCTTCATCGGAAAGCCCCGTACCCCGTAATGTACGGCTTGTTTCACAGACTTCAATGTTATGGCTGAGAGCGAAGCTGGCCCGACGCGTCGACCACTCCCAGAAATATATTCACCTCTTGTGCAGACGTAGCATGTCAACTAAGATGTTGAAAGGCAACGGGATCATGGCGCTGTTTATAACAGTTATTAACCATGAAATTCATCAAGGCCTTTTTCGATTACCCGTACCGTCAGTTTCGCCAAAGTGGAATTGTGAATATACCCGGCCAGAAAATGAGCGGACACGGGGCGTCACAATCATTGTGCTCCAACAATCACTTCTTCGGGTCACCTGCCTATTGGGATCTCGGTTACGGGTACGTCCTGGGAGATTTTAGGGCCTTTTGTTCATAGTTATTTGCTCGCGGTAAATATTGGCAGGAATTCCATACGCATTCTAGCACCCTGTCTCTATTAGATTAAAACATGTGTCCTTCAGAGTAAACAGCAGAAGAATCATCTCTTGTCAGGGGCAGGTATATTCATTTCTCCTCCCAATTGTACCCATATTTATAAATGCTTTCACGCAACCAGCCTGAGTATCTAGACAGATGGTCTAGTTTGACTCACAGAAGACAAAAATAACAGCATGATTCAGTTTGATGTGTGAGAGTAGCCAGGGAGGAAGGGGTTTAGATTTCCGTGGGAAAAGTTTCTTGCATCACTACGTAGTGCCGCCAATATTTGGGACATATGGATATTGATAATAAGCTTCATATCCAATCTCCAATCTTTGATGAATGCTCTCATTGGGCCATGTGGGGTGTTGGTTGAAGCTTGGTCGAGCAAATGGGCCATTCTTCTCCACTCCCGTCCCTGTTTGCTTTGGAAAACAGAGCATAAGAAGACAAGAAAATATAAGGGAGTTCACTTGAAAGGGTGTAGTGCTGCGTCAGAGTGCCGATAGCTAGCCCCTGCTAATTTGTGTCGCCCTGACTGTCGCTGGGCCCTGCCTTAATAGCGTTTAGACATGACTCTAGCTCATCAATTTCCTCGCTTTTTTCACGTATCCATTCCGTCAGTTTGTTCAATTCGGCAAGTATTTTTTCCTCTTCAGTCTCATACAGCCCATGGTCCTTGAGTTATTGCGTGTAGCGTTGACATTGATCTGCACGACGATGCGCCTCCAATGCAAGTGCTTCATGTTCCGCGAAAAATTGGGAGATTACTTTTTCAATAGGCTCGACAAAAAGCGTTTGCGCCAGGAAGTCATAAAATATATCGGTAACATCAGTAGGCCGCCGTAAAACATGGGCAACACAGAATGTTCCAAGTGGCCCAGCACGAATGGGCCCTTATCCAGGTCAGAATGAATGACTTGCTCAAAAATACCTTACATATTACGCAGGGCGAAAACTTCTTGTTGGATATCATCAAGGGCAAGGTCGCGAACCGGTGGTAAGAAGAATGCCGATACAAGACCGAATTGGCAACTCATATACTCCCTTGCAGAAGCGAATATTGGTAGGAGTGGCCGCCGCAGCGTGTGGGCAGACATGGAGATAACAGGGCCTGAGACAGGGGACGCGCCGCTATTAGGTGGCGGCATTAAGGAGCCGATTGCTGGAAACTCAAGCATCCTAAGCTCCGCCAAAAATCAACCAACTGGCAGTAGAAGCTTCGTCTATACGTAATAGTAGCATCAGCCAGAAGCTTCTTGTCTAGCGGTTCTCCTATCACACGGTCCGAGATAAGAAACATCTGCGTTGTGTCCCCTGTTTTTGTCAACAAGGCATCACGTCCATAAGCATGAACATGAGGGACGGGGATGCGGGTATTACGCTTCACAAATCTAGATCTATGTCACCCTTGATAAAAGTAAGGAGACAGGTAGAATTTTATGCCGGGGATTGTCGAGAGCAGGGTCAATGGAGACTCTAACCACCCACTGGGTATTACATTGGTCGAATTCAATAAAGAAACAAACATTGAAGCTGCCACTATCCTTCTTTGCCGCCCGGCAGGGGCTGCCGCGGTTATGCTGTGATGCAAGAGCGCAGACTGCATCTGAGTCTAGCGATTCAATGAAGCTTTTCTTAAGAGAGAGTATTAATTATCAGTTGGGTAGAGAAATTCGCGGCTACCCAACTCGCGGCCCTCTGCCGTCAGTTTATCAACATCTTCTTCTTCCAGACAAGGAGGCGACTCCACAGCTTGGACAAGAAGAGAACCATCGACGCCCATCCCATACGCGCTAGACGAATGAGAGCGAGTATCACGGTTGGTTCTCGGCGTCGCTGAGTTATGCCGGTCGCTTCGACACTGAAAGAGGCATCGCAAACTCAAAGCGACGTCGTTTGTTGGTTTGTTGTCACTCACCCAATTTAAAGGGGCTGGCCCGGCTGGGGCTTTGGACGGCACAGGCACTCGGCTAATAGTAGTTCCGGTGTTGCTAGCCTACTCCTACTACCAGACCCTACCTCCCCTAGGTCGGTCCCTTCTCGTAGTCAATTTTACCAAGAACAGAGCGCTGAAATGGTCAACATTGGATTCCTCTACTGATCTGTCCTGGAGAAGTACATACAGCTGGCACAGATTGCACAGTGCCGCGTTTCTCCCTTTGGCGGCTTATTCGCCTGATTATTGTCCATTTTAACTTACTGTTCACGATTTCGTCGTATTAGAGTGTAAAAACGGGTACCCGTGGGTACCCGTAGGTATCCAAGTTTTTCTTGGGTTATTTGTGGGCTACTCGTTTTATTATATAAGTAATTTAAGTATACTATAAGTAATCTAATATAAAGATAAGTATTTCATAAATACTTATAAACGTATAATAATATAATATAATAATATAAATTATAAAGTAAGTTATATAAGTCTTATTTAAGTACTTAAAAACACTTAATATTTTTAATAAATAATTAAAAGTACTTTATTTTCCCTTATAAATTTATTTAAGTCTTTTTTTCTTACCTATACCTACCCAAAGCCCACGGGTAAGCAACCCACACGGGTACCCGTAGACCTTTTACACCCCACGTCGTATAATGGTCCACCCGCCAATCTCTCGCCGACACGGTATTAGGTATCGATGAGACCTAGCCAAGGACTTGTTTGCGCAATAGAGTAGCGCTACAAACCGGTGCGGATGTAACTATCAGGCACGAGCGACTCGGAAGGTTTCACAGCGCGCTCACTTACAGGACCAGCAGACCGTCGCCAGCGAATGTAAGAATTGTCAACTCGATTTCCGTGAGCCGTGCGAACTACCCCGCATCTTATCCGAGGACCAGATGGCAAATCATTCTTTTTTTAGCGCCTCCATTTTTTGATGCCTTACGCGCCTGAGCCCAATTTGGAAGACCTCCACGAAACCGACGGCCATGTGGTCTTAGCAGTCCCGACGTTGGCCAGCCTTATCTCTGAAACGAAATCCAATCCCTCTTTCACATACCAGCACGTTTTTCGTCATGAGAGGCGAAGTTTCGAGGTCACGGGCCCGGCGCTCTCATTCTAAACTATCCAAGGCCTTGCAAGGAAAGCCGCTAGATACTGTTGCGGGTAACAGTGCAGGTATGCATATCGCCAATGTCATTGGATTTGGAGAGTAGGAAGATATGCTAACTTGTCAGGCACAGATCTTCTACCGAGCCATAGAGACGGTTCTCTAATGGGTGGAGATCTTGCGCAAGGCACGACGCCGCCTTTGCAGTCCAGTAAACAAGGGGACGCAGCATCTACGAGCGATTTATTGCCTGCGAAGAGGGCGCCGTTGAAGCGGACGGGCTCACAAACATGTAGGTATTCTGCCATGTCCGCAAGATGGGTCAAGCATGCTGAGCTGTCAGGTACAGGACCCTCGAGGCGCAGTGCGAGGCTTCAAGCCCGACAGCACTTTGCGGGCGGTAAAAGTCCTACGGGTGTCGCCCCATTGGCACCTCCCTGTGAACCGCAGTACGAAGCAGGTGCCGAGAGTGTTTCGTTACCATCGAAGCAAGCACTATTGCCGCAGACAAGTACACAAGAGTCTGGAGTTGAGAACCAGGAAGTAGAGGAGCCCACCAAGGTAGGACAACATTCGCTCACGCAAGGTAACTGCTAATACCTCGTATAGACTCTACAACCGCCCAAGCCTCCCGGGCGTCCACCCACCTTGCCTCTTGAGCTCAAGGTCGAGGGGCAAAAACAACACCCTCCGGCCACAGAGTCGTGGAAACGGCAGGTTGGCAGTGACGGCGACGGCGACGGCGACGAACACCAGCCAAAGCGAGCGCCGTTGACACAGAAAAACTTGGCCCGGTTTAACAAGATGGGGAGGAAGAAGGGAATTAGTAAGGTGTCAGCACCTGCTCCGCCAGAATCCACGACCGAATCGACAACGACGAAGACCACCTCAACAACTTCCTCTGGCTTCGCTATCCAGGCCTATAAGAATGGCATCCTTGAACCACGATACTCTCAGCCGCCTACGAATCTCAAGAAAATACAGGATCAACATGCCAGATCCCGTGCAACCGCTTCCCCTACCGAATCGGTCTATGAGGACTACGTCGACAGAGTTGGAGGAGCCGTCAACGAAGCGACTATGGTCTTCGAGGTCGGCGGGCAACTACTGAAGAAGTACCCGAAAGGTTACAAAGGTTACAAAAGGGCGCTCAAACAGGCATTCACAGGCCTTCCAAAAGATATTGGTTTTAACAATGGCCTATCTGCTCCGCAGCCCGACTTCATTGAGGGATTAGAGATGCAAGAATACGAGCCATTCCCCGTCAACGAGCATGTCAGTGGAGCTGTTCTTTACAAGGATGACCCCGGTTCCCTGACTCTGCCACATTTGGCTGGAGAGTGGAAGGGCCGCGGAAAGGATATGGAAGAAGCCAGAATGCAAAGCGCCTTTAATGGAGCGGCTCTTGTCTTTGCGCGGAATCAGGCCCTTTCCTACATTAAGAAACCTGACCCACTAGGTCATGCCGCGGTCACGACTTTCGCTACGGACGGCACTAACATCAACTTCTATGCACATTATGCTGCTCCGTCCAACGACGGCAGGGTTAAATATCACCAGTATCACTACGCGTCGGCAAACCTAAAGGACTCTCACCAAGGGCACAAGGACGGCCGAAGAGGACTCAGGAATGGGCAAGACCACGCGAGGGAACAGTCGTACACCCTGAGAGACCAGCTAAAGGAACACTGGAAGCAGCATCACAACCCCGCCCCCCAACCCATCGCCGAAGAAGCTCGTCTGCCTGTCGCTGACGGCACTTGCGATGAGCTGAACGCAGACGAAGACGCAGATGGCTACGAGATGGTTGAGCAACCCTGCCAGCCTACGCCTGCGGCCTCTTCTTAACCGTACAGGGCGTCAAGCTCCGTCTCCTCATCGAAGTCCGTCCCACCAACAAACGGCCACGTTCCCGGCAGCGGTGGCCAGAAACAAAAAGTCTCGTTCTCCTCGCAGGTACCCTCCAACGGATCCTCCAGCCAAAGCGAGTATAAGAGCTATTGGAAGAAGGATGCTGAAACCGGGCGTTTCTTCCACAAACATTCTGATGGTAGGGTCACCTGACTTGATGATTATGGAAATTGAGAGTGCCTGTTCAGATTCCTACTACTTCAGACTGCAGAAGGAACTGTTTCACTAGTGTTGTTTGACGCCCCCTTTATATATTCACATATCATGTTTTAATCCTCGGAATATTTTAGCCCGTAACCAAAGTTGATTTGACAATTATACGTCTGGATATATTCACTAGTAAATTGATTCCATATACTATTTTGTTTTGTTGCGACTACACTCACTACCATGCTTTTATCTATGGATCGATTATACTGCGTCGTGTTGTGATTCGAGTTGCGACCAGCCTGTAGGATCCGTGCTTGCGCGACATCACCAACCGAACTGCTAGTGTTTGTGCTTGTGTGCTGCTTTGAACCACAACCTGCACCAACGGAGGTTCTTCCACTTTCGGAACCGCAGCTACCAATAAGATAGTACTGGCTTACTCCAGGTACTACCTCTCCTTGTGGTCCCTATTTCTGGCAAGAACATCGCTCTTAAAGACGAGCTTCTGGTGGAGGCTGCTGGTGAGCCTTGTTATAGTTGCTAGCTTCTATATGATGATTAACTTTTTTCCTGAGAGCATGCACCCTCAAGCAGGCCCTCTTTCCGGCTATGGATCACGGGCACGGAGTAGGCGTATCTTATCCGCAAACTCGGCTTGCTTACAAGGACATCTAAATAAGGAATTACATGAATTATAATGCAGCATCCAGGCACGTCTGGTCAATGGACCGCCTGCCGACCAGTAATCATCCTTCGAGGAGCAGGAGCCTCATAGCTATTACAACGGCAGTATATCGAAATTCGTTCTTAAGAAAATAACTAGTAAAGTATGCGGATGTATGTGCCTTTTCTGCTACTCCACCAACCCGCCATGCCTTCAACACTCGAGAACATAGAACAGTACGTAGAGGTTATACTGATATGCGTATGGGACAAGACAACTATTATTGCTCCGGTATCAGGATAACCAGTTGGCGTTGCACCTTTGGGTTTGCTCATTCCATACACAGTAGCCCCAAAATAGTGTCCAAATGTCCAAACCCCATGAAGGACTCCATGCCACCGCTGCTAGTTATTTCTACGGAAAGCTAATCGCAGCACTATGTCCAGCGGTTAGTTATTGCAAGATACAATGCCAGTGCTCCATTGGTAGATCACTTACGAAGCAAGTCCCTCTGCTGCAGTTCTGTGAGTATACTTTAGCACATATCTATTCATTTTAGCCTTGACAAACATGTACTTACGCAGCAATTGCAGCTAGGGTCACAGGCTCTCTTTTGAAAAGATACGTCCGAGGTCTGATCTGTTGCAGGGAGTGCGAGGGTGAGCCCGACGATGCCTGCCAAGATGACGTAAAAGGCCTTCATTTTGAGACAAACGTAAATTAAATTGGGGCACAGAAGAAATATGAGTGAACTTTGGGTACTGTCTAAGCTTGAATTTTCAGATTTTTTTATTCTCGGTGGGAATAGGCTTTATATAGATGAAAAGGCTCTTTAAGCATTTCACTCGGTTTCCTGCTTTTTTGCTCAACTTACACCTTTGCTGCATGGGTGGTGAACCCAAAGCTACCAGGCCATCTCTGGGTGAGGCGATGAGCCCCGAAGATGATGTGAGACAAAACACCGGCAATGTCTGTTTAGAGACGTTGCCGTTTTTTAATATATGCTTTTTGGCAGCTTGTGCTGGAGTGTAGCCGATTCACTCAGTTTTGCACCGTCAGCGCTACTCCAGCCACTTATGCGATGACTGTGATGGTGGTTGCGGAGAAGAAGAGACGAACTCATTGCTTACGACGTGTCAGAAAGCGTCTTTTTACAAGATAGGGTTAGGTATGTGTAGCAGAAGGCTGGAAAGGGCGGCAGACAATCTAGAGTTGGTAAGTCCCGGCCAAGGTGGCAATAAGGTTTAAGTTTTCCGCCGCATCTTTACTTATTCCATGACTAGTCATCCCAACCAACAACAATATCAGGGTACGGGTGATTTATTTCAACGCTCAACCAAGCCCGTCATTAGCTAAACGGAGTATACAATATCAGCCCGATTCCCACAATTGTCGGGCAAAACATGAAGTCATCCCACGACCCTGGAGCACAAGTGGCAAAGGAAAACGCGGTTTTTAATGACCCTCCGAGGGCTCAATCGGGATACAGAGACTCGCCGCGTATGGGGCCGACAAGCTCCATGTCGGGAATTGTTCCGTCATGCGTCGCGGCGTAGCTATCAGGATGACGCTGGTCACCCCATCACATTCTTCTGCCTTTGCTGTCGGTGTGGCAGTCATCGACGGGATTTGCGAGGGTCGACAGATGGTCTGGCTCATAAGTCGGTGCAGCAGTGCCTTGGTGAAGAAGGGCACGAAATTCTCCCAGCGAGAAACGGCAGCTAGGACTAGATTCGTGCGCAAACGAGCGCCTGTAGCAGTCTTCTTCCCATGGCCGTATGCCCTTCGCCAAGTATCTTCGTCCCTGGATAGATTTGAAAGCAGCTTGACGAGTGGAGGACAATGGGCATGCTGCAGCGAGGGCTACGTTCCGGACACATGCCACAGCCGGGGAGACCCGCAAATGCCGGCGCCGGATCCGACTGGCGTCTGCGGGCCCGGGCTGTGGGAGGTTAACGGCCCGGGATCTCGGCTGACGTTGCCGGTATTGAACTCGACGTGGGTATATAACCATGATAAAGCAGTGAATATGTTCTCTATTTCTCGAGGCAGGACAGTTGCCAACTCGCCTGCGGGTACATAAGGGTCAAAGGCTACGGCAGAAACGAAGAGGATGCAAACACGGCAAAGAAACATTCAAAATTATCCCATAGCACACGACTACCATGGATGCTGACATACAGTCGAGGACCAAGCCGGGTTGCCAGTTTTTGATGGCCGTTTTCGAACGGACAACATGGAATGTTATGTTTACTGGCTTCCCGAATCGTTTAGAACATACCTCTCTGCTCTCCCGGTCCGTAGTTCCTGGAGTTCTAGACATTGCTAGCTAGTTGTTTGGAGAGAATTTGGCTTCGTATTGGCTTTTGTGGATTACACCTGGCGTCTTAGCAACATATTTTGTTAACGTACTCCGTGTATGGGAGGTGCTGGGCATCATCTTTCGACAGTTGACTCACTTCTGGTACGGCGGAACCACCACAAGATCAAAATTGACTTTTGTTGGCCAAATTTTAGTCATCCGGGTGTAACCTCGACAGAACTGTGCAACGGAGCACAAGTAAAGACGTTGGTTGTGGCCTGCCAGGGTCTATGCTTTGCCCCAGTTTGCTACGCTGTAGTTGTGTGTGGAACCAATGGTTGACTTGAGCAACTCAGCCAAGCGGGATATCGCTAATATCGAGTAATTGCACGTAAATTAAAACAAGTTGACTCACCCGTTTTTGATCTCTTTGCCTTCAAGCTCCCTTCATCGGCCAACGCCCATTACAGGGGCGAAAGCACACAGGATATCGATTTTGTCTACCGGACTCCATGTGCCCCGATATGGCAGCGACGGAAGCACCTTTACTTCTAGACCAAACAGCCTATAAAGAAGCCGACTGCGAGTCGGCGCTTTGAGGCCAGAAGCTGCCAGAGCAGTCGGCCAATCACGAAGTGCGGCTATGCTTGGTGAGCGGCATTCGACAGCGTGGTGCTTTCGCCATGTCAGCCGAGGTCTCGGATCTCTGTTGAATGCAAGGACAAGTGTGTTTATGCGGGCTCGCAATGCTCGCTTGATTATAAGCGACCGGGTGCCTAGCTCCTAGCAAATGCCTGATAAGGACTCCCGCGCGTACTGCATCTGGTATCCTGATATCGCTAGCCAAGATACCCATCGAAAGGTTGCTGCGGCGTTCCTCGATATGCGATACCAAGTCGGCCGGACCTGCGCCGTCGCAGGATATTACGAGCTATATCGTGAGCTTGACCTGCTTCCTGATGTATTCATTGCTGAGGAGGCGCGAGAAGCTGGCAATCATGGCTCCCGCCGCATCTTTGATCACATCAAGGCCATGCCTACACGCTACGGAGTCATGAATGACTACAAGCTTGTTATCAATCTGGAGAGCCCTAAACCCGGCGTCTGCCTAAATGCTGACACCGCCGTGCTTGCCACTCTCAAGGGGCGCCGAAGATCCTGTAACGGCCTCGGTAAGCGACTGTGGGGATATTTCAATACCACCGTGGACTGGGGTGCTGGTGAGGAGGGAGTGAAACTTGACGTGGTCACTATTACTAACTCTGAGATCGCCCTACCTACGTCCCTATTGCCGTTTGATCTTCCGACTATGCACAAAGACCTGGTGATCCCGGTATCTGCTATGAGGGTAATCTCGCGCCGATATGCCCGCATCCGTCGCCCAGGTCGTAGCGTGGAATATGAGCTCCGTTGCCTGGTACCAGGTGTTTATCGAAGTACTGCCATGGCGCTCTGGCTAGCCTAAAGCCCTGATATCGTGCAAGTAGTTGCGGATGAATGGGGTTCCGGCTCTGAAGAGAGCAACCAACGCCAGGCATGTCATGAACAATGATACGCATCGTCTCCTGGATGCTGAGCCACCTGTACCGGATGAAGAGCTATCGTACTAGATCTGGTACTCGAATATCCCGACGACAACGACGCTTTACAAACTGGCCAAGGCTCGGCCAGCCATGCGCCCCCAGTGTGTACGTGCCAGCATCGCCGCCGGCTATCGCGGTTTGTACACGACACTTATGGACACGGGCGCGGAGACGCCCAGCGACGACATCAACCACATTTCTCTATTGGTGGATGCCTTTGTTCTCAAGGATGCGGGAGCTAGCTGGGAGCGAGACTTCTACATGGCTGATCTTCAGCGACGGCAGCGAGAGCGCGGCGTCAAGCCACTCAAGCGCAGTTATGGCAAATGGAGAACAGTTTCCCCTGGAAAATGGGGATATTAGCTCTAATTCAATCCTGGGCTCCCTGACCGACGACGGCTCGCGTATCGTGTCCATCGGCTAGGATTGGGGTGTGGGGAGAGCCTCGGGGTAGAATTAGGTTAGGTGCGTCTGCATCCCAGCACTCCTCCGGAGCAAAGGGAGAGGGTTAAAAGGGGAAAGTGGGTGGAATCTATAGGACATCATCCTAGTGGAATAGTAAAATTCGAGGTCGTGGACCAGCTGAGGTGCCGTGTATGCTTCCTAGTATACGCCACACTGGCTTCTATAGAGCTGTGCCGTTGCTCTTGTTTCAATCAAACATTGTAGTCGTCTCCCTCTGGCGTAACCTTCTTCCCTGTTCAACATACATGTCATTTACGCCCCTCGGCATGGTATAGGCGAATGCAAATCGGAAACGTAGTTGAGCTCCCTGAGCCTACTTGTCAACACCTCCCGGGGTCATTAACTATTTTGAGACCCTGAGAGACAAGCTGCAGGGACGGTGCCGATACAGCTCAGCACTGCAACTGTCTTTTAATTCTGGCACCCATGCTCCGTCTCGGCATAGATCGTGACCAGCGCCGAGCACAAATCTTGGCCCCAATAGCGATTCCGGAAGACTCACCGTGAGCGAAAATGCATGGCGTTTTAAGCGAATGTGGAAATAACATGCTTGGAGAATCATGACAGCTTCCTTTACTTGACTGACACAGTAGTTGCATGTGTAGCTATCGTAGCATAGCCTGCAGAGTTGTAAACATTATGAGAAATCATGTCCAGGTGGTTACTCAAAGGGTCGCGGCACTGTCACCTCGGCATGCGCACAAAGAAGCAATACAGCACCTGTCCTGTTTCCTTGCAGCTTGGCAGGTAATATAATCTTACAGGGGCGGCTTTTGTAGTTTTATCCATTGAATCTCGGTGCCGGAGAAGAATCACCAATCTCTGGGCACAAACCGCTCTTGCACATACCCTGCAGTTGTTAGGCTTTTGCCGTTTACATTTGGAGAGAGGATGAGGTAGCTATGCCTGGAAATTTTGCCGCAGCTCACGACTTGGTCTGTTGCCCGGAGCAAGACGTATCTGGTGTTTCGTGTTATCGGGGGACGGCGAAGCGGCTAGCAAGTACCTCACAAGCTTGCCAACTACTCAATTTAGGTTCCCGTCCGTGCAAAAATTCATCATACATGACGTACCGTACAGGGATATGGTAGCCCTTTTGTCTACATAGTCCTCCCAGAATGGAGAAAGAGAACCTTGGCGCCAGTGCAACAGATGTGCCGCTCATCATATCGCCTATGCCCCTTAGTCCGCCATTCCATGATAAAAAGGAATGCAACAGTGACCGTTGTCTTTTCCCTGACCAGGCTCCTCTCCAGGTATTTTTCTTGGATATGAAGACGTCCATGTAGTTTCGTGCGATGGCCATATAAGACGTGTTCGGGGTGCTGGTAGTTCCACTTAAAAACAAATTCTCAACCGTGGTCCTGTCACTCAAGTCAAAGACTGCGAGAGTCACCATACCTGCTGTAAATTAAATCCAAGAGCATACTTGTATGTGCCCTCTAAACAAGTCGTGCCACGCCGAGAAGTGGGCTTCCGGCCAATATTATCTTTCAACACACCCGAAGACACTTTGGGCTCGGTGCTCTTGTAGCTCAAACATCAAGCGAGCCTACACGTTCTATCAAATGCCTTGTTTCTCAAGTCAAATAACTACCTTTATTTTTTTTTTCTCCTTTAGCTATCCTCTTGCCTTAAAGCTAGAATACGCTTGTTTCTCAACTACTATCCCGCTGCGCTTGCTATGCGGCATGACTTTTGCTGTTCCTTTGCTTCCTTCCCAAGGCCGCCAAATCAAATGTCATTTCCTTGCTGCCATGAACACAAACACGACGATCAGACTTAAGAAAAAACACCTATGAGGCAAACTACAATCATAACAGCCACGCAGAGTCCCTCACCAGCTTTGTACAATGAGCGCCATGAATTCTCGACTCTTGTAGTGCTGTATAACCCCTGTTGAGAAGAGTATCCCAGCTGGATGGAGCTGATTAAGATGCTTAAAACGCCAAAGGTGAACAACAAGGGGCCATAAAAACGACTAAAGTAAGCATCGTCATTACCGTAAACCTTGGAAAAGACAAACTTGTGCAAGACAAACTTTCCCTGGAGACTAAAGGGTCCAAGGCGCAGCTGACCGTACTGATAACGAGGGCTTACATCGGCGTCAAGTATTGCCAAGGGCCCGAAAGCCTGAATGAAAGTGACAAAGGAAGTATGTCAACGGAATATAAGGGGGTATAATTGCTATTCGATCAGAGCGCGTTTTTTTTCGTGATAAAATATAGGTGGTCTTGGAGAATTCGTCCCTATAAGCTAGCTCTTCACCTAGGTTTTCGCCGTCTCCTCTCTTGTGAATTGCAGTCGATTGGGAAAAGGTCGTGTTTAGCTGCGAGTGCAAAGTCCGAAGGGTGCTGTATGAAATGCTGGTAGGTCCCCATAAGTCCCAAGATGGCTTTATAGACCGTGTCTTTGTTCGTGTTGGCGCTTATTTCTGATTCGAAAACCGCGGACAGAACGCGTGTGAAAGCAGAAACGGCGGGATAGGCTTGGCAAATACTCGATGGCCACGCCAGACAAGATGCGGCTCCGGGTTTATCGTAACCGTGATCTCTCGGCCGACGGCGACTTGGTGAGTCAAGCTAAAGACGTGACTGCTATCCTGTGTCGGCACGAGCCAGAGCCACTTTGAGAAGTCGTCCAGCTGCGGGGTGCGGAAGTATTTATCAAGAAATTGAAGAATCTCGGACCGGTCCAGTGTTGTTTGAGGGTGTCCCGGAAGGCGACGACTGCTATCGCCAATATCTGCTTTGTGGATGCCATGGAAGAGACTTGGGAAGGTAGGTAGAGTCATGACATGGAAACGAGTGCAAAATTGTCGCCAAAGACGGATTATTAATTTGGTTATCGAAAGGCGTGACTTTGATAACTCAAAGGATGGGCCAAGGAAGGTGTTTTAGAGACAATCGGATTCGGATGGCAGGCGGTGTTTCGTGATTTCCTTACGCTTCTGCGTGCTGAGTGGCTATATAATAGCCATGTTTAATTTGTCAATTTTTTCAAAAGAATTTCTTGGACAAATCAAGAGCTGGCAGGGGCTTTAATACTAGTTGGTGGTACATGACACATGGCCAGATGTTCCAGTCGCTGATGTTTGTCCACAACCAAGACTGCCTGTCAGAATTTTGGGATGATCAAATACTGCAGCCTGATGTCTGCACAAGCTTTCAAGTGACTCAGCTGGATGCCTTGATATACAGCATGAACAGTGGTAAAATCAGTTTTCGTCCGGCAGCATCAACCCTTGTCCAAGGGGACATCAATCACGGTCAGCTGCCCAACAACCCAATTTTGCAGCAAATTTTGTTCTTCTAAGAGGCTGAGCATCATGTCTGTACATCCTTTGCCGTTCACAGCATCAAAATACACCCCAAAAGAGACTGCTGCAGCGGAACCGGGACGGGCCGCGGGGATGGGGAGATTTCGTCATGTTATTGTGTAACAATGGCAGATTGGCCACGTCAAACTTTTTTAGATTTGGCTGGTTATTGTCACGATTGACAGCTATGGATTGACTTTAACAGTAGATTGGTTCTCTGATTGAGACTATCTAGCTACGGAATTGAGAGTCCTTGGATAGATGACCGATTGAAAAGGACAGACTTCTGTCAGTGGTTATCGGGATTGACTATTGAGTCATAGAGTACAAGGAATCCAGCAATAGCGTCCCTTGGCCGAATACGCTCAAGGTACAGCTTATGAGTGTGCCATTTTAACTCTCTTTGGCCCGTTACAATTACGCTTAATTTGAAGCTTAATGTCAGTGAGTATATTCGGATGGACCAACCATTGTGGTGACATCTTGAAAAGTCTCACGCGGTGAGAGCTTATCAAATGACTCAGATCACCAGCCAGATGGACTGAATACCAAGAACAAGTCCACTCTTGAATGTTCGTAACGATGACCTCGGAATAGTTGGATTGAGGGTTGAAATAAGCTTCTATGAACGAAAAGACCAAGTCGATGACTTGTTGACAGATATAGATGACGATTTTGATTTACGTTTCTCACAAATATTGGGAGAATAATCGCCAGCCCTGAACTTAGAGGCTGTTTTGCGACTGTTCAGAGGCTGCACCAGCCTCCGGTGCAACTTCCGCAGGTATTTGGTAGCAATATCGATATCGTGGTATGTATTGATCGTACATAAATGGCACGAGGTTCTTTTATCTAACGAGAGTTTTCTTCTATTCCTAATTCAGGGGTTGTACGAGTCTGCCCGGTGGTAGCGCACAGGTAGTGACACCAGACATTATGGAAACACCAGCGTCATTATCGAATTCAAATGGACTCAAGCGGGGACGCATGGTTGAATGGCAGCTCGACTCATTTTAGCGAAATGTTGGTGGTTTCGAGTACGCACCCTGCTGTTCTGCAACAGACCCTCGAGGCATTACTCGGTAATCTCTAATGTCATGCAGAGAAGGGGACCGATTCAAAGCGAGTCAATCGGCTGCAGATTACCTTGGTCGGAAACAGTGGCAGAGGCATATAGAAGCTGATGGTCAATCGGTAGACAAAGCCTTCGAAAGCCACATGGCTAGTCGGTGTGTCCGGTGAAGCTGCGGCGGGCGGCGAAAAAAAAAAAGTTTGAAAGTTTGGCTTGCGCAAAATTTCCCCTCTCTCCCGATTCACCCCACCATCGACCGATATCAAACCACCCCATGCATTTTGATTGCCCCGCCGGCATTGCGAGCGAGCTGTCGTCCCAGATTGCTCTTTGGGTGCGCGGGAGCAGCCAGCAAATATCAACCCACACAGCCCTCGACGAAGTACGTTACCATTAATTATAAAAAGGGGCAGATACTGCGTTGTACAGATACCGAAAGATATGAATCGTACAACCAACTTGCCTCACAGGACAGCTAAGGATTGTCTGCCAGGTGCTGGTAGAAGA